TTGCAGTTTATGTGTTGAGGTCTTGACAGTAAGCCTAGGCTTCTCTGGGTAGGAGGTGAAGGCTGTTCTGAAGAGTTTATTCTCCTATCAACCACTTAGAAAAGAGAGGAGTCCATCTTCAGGTTGAAAGTTGGGTTTCAGAGGTAACTTTTCACTGATCAATATTTGTGTATCATGAAATATTTCATAGTGGTTCCTACTGACGAGTCTTTAAGGGTACCACCCCCAGAGAAGCCCTACACTATACCTATGGGTAGGGTTGGTGATGTAGCTTTTAAAGATTTCCAGGGGGGGGTTGGTGTGTGTTTCTGTAGGTAAGAAACAACATATCCATGTTTCTGTATAGGTGGGAACACCTATATCTGGGCTGTTCTGCTCCATTGGCCATTTTGTCTATCTGTGCCATTTCCACACATGTTAATTACTGAAGTTTTATATTAAGTCTTGACATTTGTTAGGGAAATTTTCCCTTTCTCTGAAGGAAGGTTTTCCTTAATCCTTGGGTCTGTGCATTTCCATGTCAATTTTAGAATTAGCTGGTCAACTTTTACAAAAAAAAAAAAAAAAACCAGTGGAGACTTTGATTCTGTATGTAGATCAACTTGGAGACAATGATAACGGTTTTGTGGTATTGAGTCCTCTGATCTGTAAATGCCATATAATTTCTCCCAAGTTGTCATTGTTTCACTTATGTTATAAACTCCTCTGTACAGATCTTGTCAATATTTTCCCACAATTTTTTTAATGCCATGTGCAAAGTTATGCAAAGGATGGAGTCTATCTCTGGGCTCTGTGTCCTGTGCCATGGATTTACCAGTCTTTTCCTACTCTACCTTGTTTGAATTCTGTACCTTTAAATTGCTTGGTAAGTCTTGTTATTTTCCAGGAAAAGTCCGCCCCCCGCCCCCACCTCCACTTATAACATGCCGGCTGAAGCTGGCCAACCCCGTGTTTAAATGATCATGATGCATGTTTGAATGTAGGAGGCTCTAGAATGGAGTTTCTAAAGCAGGCATTAGAAACAAACCTTTCAGGGGCGCCTGGGTGGCTTAGTCAGTTAAGCGTCCGACTTTCGCTTGGGTCATGATCTCGCGGTTCGTGGGTTCGAGCCCCGCGTCGGGCTCTGTGCTGACAGCTCAGAGCCTGGAGCCTGTTTCAGTCTGTGACTCCCTCTCTCTCTGACCCTCCCCTGCTCACGCTGTCTCTCTCTCTCTCTCCTAAAAATAAATAAAACATTAAAAAAACAAACAAACCTTTCAACCAATGTATAGCTGCAGAGTTTTAAAGTTCATTTAGATGTGGCACACCACTTTATTCAAAAGTATTTATTTCCACAAATTTTTATCCACAGCTGAATATTACAGTGACTAATACAAGCATTTCTCTATACACAAAGGTGTAGTTTACAGATTTTTTTTTCAAAATGAAAAAATATTTGTATCAGTAGTATTTCTTCTTACAATGTTAGATTCACCCCAGAATTGGATGTGAACCCTTTTCACGGAAGCAGTCTTTCATCTAAACATTAGTTGCTGGCAAAATGTTATATCCAAATCTGGGTTATTTTGATACAATACCATTTTAGAAAGTAGCTTAATTTCTGATTGCCTTTATTAGAATTAGAAATTTCTTTAAGAAAACCAATCTTTAGTATCTAATGACCCTTATAGTAAGAAAAACCAGTCCTATATTTGTCATTGGCATTAACCTCTAATTTTTCTATATCCTCTAATTCTCTAATTATGGCACCAACATGTACAAAAAATGAATTTTGGCTATTTGACTCATGCAGCAAATGAATTTGAGAAATTGACTGCAGAGAAATATTCTATGAGGAAAAACTATGGGGTCCCGCCCCATGCTGTCACACTGTAGTAACCATTTAGTCCCATAGGCAGAAGTCCTTCAGTTCAGGAAATCCCTTGCTGCCTAGAATTAGGTCAAATGTATGAAAACAATTATATATATGCAAAAGAAAGGGATTCTAATTTATTCACTATAATCTTAATGCATTAACTCTAAGTAAATAGTGGTGTATTGGTGGTAGCAGTGTTAATTTTTTTTCCTAAGTGTTCCGAGTTCCTAGTTTTGGTTTTATAAAAGCCTGAAAATTTCGTGGTATAGGAAAATGAAGGGAAGAAACTCCAATGGACATGCTCCATGGAAAGGGGAAGAACAGTCCATTTTCCTTTGGGTCTACTGTGCTCTCCACGTGCCAGAAACCTAACCACAGCTATGATGATCCAGGGACAGTGCATAGAGGGGATACATGTGTCAGCTATGATCAATATTTACACGACACACATTACTACCGGTAAGCAGAGAGGCTCCCTGTAATGCTTCAAATACAAATTGTCTATAAATATTTGATTAAGTAATCTTTAAAATGCTCCTGTTTCAAGAGACCAGTCAAAACTCCACCATGATGTCGAATGTTAAAATTCCTCCCACGGCAACATGTATTTCAGAGAAATAATTGGCGACTCAGTTATCTTAGTAACAGCCGAAGGCACATGGTGAGAGGAGTGTCAACTAAATTTTAAACAGTAAAAAATAAAGACAGCTATCCAGCGCAGAGTTCAAACCTGGATGTTGAATTAAGTTACATTAAGTCACTGATTTCATGAGGTTTGAAAATGTTTAAAAATGCAAAGGATAAAAATGCTAAATAAGTGATTCAAGTTTCTCTAAAGATGCTTCTTGCAGTTTCCAAGTGTTAAATAGGGCGGATCGAAACATTAGCCAATCACTATTTATTGTTAGTGCTCTATAAAAGACCATTTGTTTTTAAAGCATATATAAATATAGCTCCACTGAAATACCTGTCTTCTGGAAAAGAGCTAAGTCTGCCATTTCTTAGACTAAGTAGCGGACTATTCATAGCCCTCACCCCACCCCACATTTATTCTAATTGCCAAGATTTTATTCAATGAATCTTGGCACCTAGTGATTAACCAGTGACAGCAGAGGTAGTGACCCATAGGGATAGAGAGGGAGGAAGGCAGAAGAACGTAAGAACGGCAAACCGTTGCATTTATGGAATCACTGCCCTTTAAACTCCTTAATGCACTCTAAACAAAGCCATTTGGGGTGATCTTGAAGATAAAGGACAGTCCTTACACAAGAGACTCAGTTTTAAAGTAAAGTGCAGCGACAAGCAAATTAAACAACTTTAAAAAGAGGTATCCAGACCTAGTAGGTTTAGACTGACCTCCCAAAGTCTGTGTGTCATGGGTGTGTCAGATGACAGAATTGTACCGGGCCAAGGAGGGACAGGCACAGCTCTGCAGGCAGCCATGAGCAGCTCATGTTTACTGTGTCATGCTGGAGACAAGGATTTGGACAGGATGGTTGAGTCTTCACCCAGGTGCCGGGCCTCGTCCTACCCCAGCAGCCACAAAAATGGCAGAGAAAGTGGAACCGAAAAGGCGTGGTACACAGGACCATTCAGGGCTTGGGAGTGTGTGGGGTTTCTGGGAGCCTTCCTAGTTGCCTGGCTAAGTAACGGGAGGGGGTGGTGGTGTGTGTGTGTGTAGAAGGATGTTCTACCTGCAGTTCATGGAGAAGTCTTATCTTCTCGATGTGAGAGAGGCTCTCCTTGGTTTTGCAAACACCATTTGTTCTGGTCATGGGAACAGTATACTGTTATCTACTAGAAATATGGAAAAAAAATTTAAAAATGGGTGTGGAGAATATGCAGGGTTTTCTCACTGAATGCCTTCTTTGAAAAGGCAAGGGAAAAACCTAAAAAAGTAACAAACAAAATCTAATATTTCACTGAATATTCTTTAATCCCTTTTTCAGAGAAGAGAGATTTACGACATTGTTTATGTGGTAAACTTAAAAAATATTGAAAATGACCTGAAAAGGCAACATCGACATAAGTTATTCTCACCCTTTAAAAAGAACACACACACAAACCCCAAAAACTTGGGTAATAATCATCCTTGATTTTAAAAAGTTTTTTTAAAAAAGTTTTTTCAAATAATCTGATTTTCAAGATGAAGTTTGTCCTTTACTATTTTGGTCATCTGGAATTACAGTGGTAATTAATGGTGGTCTTATTGGAGTTTTATGGCATTAAGGGGACTGCAGGCTTTCATATGAAGTTGTTTGGTTTTTAACCTGTAAATAAAACTTAGTATTCTTTTCTAGTATTTAGCTTATGTAGATTTTCATGAAATTTTTGTTGACTAATTACAGGGACTAGCATTAGAAACAAAGAATATCTTTCCATCTTGCTCACATTTTAAAGTTTGGGACCACAGCATTAAAAAAAATTTTTTTTAACACTTATTCATTTTTGAGAGACAGAGTGCGAGGTGGGGGTGGGGGGAGACAGAATCTGACGCAGGCTCCAGGCTCAGAGCTGTCAGCACAGAGCCAGATACGGGGCTGGAACTCACGAACCACAAGATCATGACCTGAGCGGAAGTCGGACGCTCAACCAATAAGCCACCCAGGTGCCCCTTGGGACCACAGCATTTTTAGCAGGATTCCTTCATAAACCCAAGACTATGCAAGAAGGGTTTAAGCACATTAGGGACAGAGTCTTATAATTTTGCTTTAGACACCAATACTCGGAATGTTTCATTGGGAGGTCGGTTCCACCACTGTCTCTGCATCACCAGGCATTCAAAATATTTTCGAAAAACTTCTCCCAAGGCCCCTGTAATTTTGTTCTCAGAACATCTCCCCACAAGCTTATATGCATCTGTGGTTTGCTGACCCAGGGAAATGTGTCCCACACTAGGCAACAGCATCGTGGTTGTTAGTACCATTATTTGTTGAAAGCCCTCTGAAGGCAATTTATGTGATTTACATATTTTTAATATTCTCTTACTTTGGGCATTCTCCAGTTCTATGCAAAGATCAAAACTGGGCAGTTTCCATTTTATAGATTGGCACCTTTTATATGGCCATGGGGACTGCTTGGTGGCTGTAAATGATTATAATGTGAATTCATTTAGACTGAAATCATATACTTAAAAAAAACTGTCCAGATTTCAAGTGTTTTATTCTGAGTAGTAGGTACAAAAAATGACGACAGATGTGTCTTATTCCATATAGTTCAGCACTCTGTGCAGGCTCTCAGTCTCCGATTTGATCCCCTTTAAATGGAGCCAGAGGTGGGAAGGTGCCTTGTCAGACCTCATTGAGGAACTCCAGATTGAGATATGCTGGGATGTGGATGGAGTCCATGGTCAGAGAGGATGGATTAAATGGAAACAAGACTGGAAACATGTGCTTGAAGTCTAACAGCAGTTGCTGAGGGTCATTCCGTTCCTGTAGTTGTGCCTGTGGGGAAGAATAAGACCATGTAAAATACTTAAAATACCCAAATATAGCCAGTTTAGGTGAACTCTCAAAAGTGAATTAGCACGTATCATGGAAATATTTGTGAACACAATTAGGTTGGGCTTCAGGAGAACATGACCTCCTGTTTCGGGGGTATTTGTCAGGGAGAGGAGCCCCTTTTGAGGCTTGTTGGAGAACAGATGGCTTTAAGCTCTCCCCTAATCCTAATAAGTCTTTACAAATTTTTTTCATCTCAGGGAGAATAGAAAAGTACATTTCAGGTGCAAAGCACGTAGACGGGCACCAAAGTGAAGTGGTTAAGACGGTGGGCTCTGGAGGCAGACAGCCTGAGCTCTGATCTGGTATGACCCTGGGCAAATCCCTGAACCTACGTATATCTATTCCTTAGCTTTTCTCGTCTGTAAACTGGAATGGGGCTGTGACAGCATATAAAATGGCAGAGTGGGAGGCACTGGGGCTCAGTCCCTCCACTGAAGCAACCACTGAGCTGGAAAAAGCAATGCTATCAACTACTTTGGAACGCTCAAGTCTGACTGGCCACTCACAGCGAGCAGGAGTGTGCCTGATGGATGGGGAGGCCGCTTATCCTGGCTAAGAGAGCAGTATGTGCGAACCAGCCACTGTGCCCAGTCTCCGGCCCTGGAGCAGCTGTAGGGGGAAAGGCCTGCACTCCTGGAGAAGCTGGCTGGTGAGGCAGGGCAGGCAGTGGGACCTTGTCCTCCCAAATCTGGGCTCATGCCCTTGTTGGTCTGGCATTCCCTCATAGGCTGGCACAGATGCCTGCCTTGATTTTGGCTTCTCTTGGGATACAGCAGCTTCCCCCAGTGGTATTGACTAGAAGATTTAAAGGGACACAGACTCTCTCCTTTCCCCCTCTGTTTGGAGCCAGACATTTTAGGAAAAGCAGAATAACTGAAGGGAAACTTTTCAGTTTACTAAAGAGGTTCAACAGAAGCCTTGGGCAGGCAGAAGAAATGATCAGTGAACTTGAAGATAAGGCAACTGAAATTACCCAGTTTGAGGAACACATAGAGAAAAGATGAATAAAGGTGAACAGAACCTGAGGGACCCATGGGATACCATAAAGCATACAACATATACGTCACAGTAGTCCTGGAAGGAGAAGAGAGAAAGGGGCAGAAAATATCTGAAGAAATAACGGCTCCAAATGTCCCCAATCTGATGAAAGACACCCTCCTCCCCCAAGAAACTCAGCAAACTCCAAGCAGGATGAAAAAAGACCCAAGCGGGATCAAAGAGATTCACAGTGAGACACATTCTAGTCACATAATCAAAGCCCAACAACAAGGAGGGAATCTTGAAAGCAGCCAGAGAGAAAGGACTCCTCGCATACAAGGTGTCCTCAAGGAAGACCATGGATGGATTTCTCATCAGAAACCATGGAGGTCAGAAGGCAGCCCTGAAAGAAACTGTTAACCAAAAACTCTACATCCAAAACTATCCCTCAACAAAGGAGGAGAAACGGAGTCATTTCCAGATAAATGAAAGCAGAGGAAACGAAAGTCCTATAGGATGAAATGAAGGGGCCCTGAACAGTAACTCGAAGCCACAGAAGAAATAAAGAACACAGGTAAATGTGAAAGCCAGCACCACACTTTTGGTTTGTAAGTCCTTTTTCCTATACAGAAAACAATTATAAATTTCTGTTAATGGGAACAGATGTGTAACACGGGACCTGTGACACTAACACTAACGGCAGAAGGATGGAGAGGTGGAGCAGCGGAACTTGAAACTGAGTTAGTATTATTTAAATTAGGCTGAGAGATGTTAACTGCAATCAAGGTATACAGAATATATATATAGAGAATGAAAGCAGGGAATCAAAACGGTATACTACACACACACACACACACACACACACGCAGTCATGAGGAACATAAAACATAGGCAGGCATACAGGAAACCAGTAACTGCAGGTCAGATGTGATTACCGGTAAAGAGTTCACATTTTGTAAAGGACACAGAATAGTGTCTGGCACTAGGTGAGTCCTGTCTTTGCTGATCTTTACAACACTTTTCTTTGTAACTTCTGCTCGTGCACATCCCATTACCTCTGAACCGTGAACCCGGGTGCAGCTGTACTTTTATAAATGCCACAGAGACTAGTTAACTGAGTACTTCCAAGAGGAAAATCAACACAGCCTGAATCTGTAAAAACATGGCTCATCTCCTACTAGCTTAAGCTAGGAAAACATTTCCCCTTGTTAGAAAACACGCACCCCTGATGCTTCAGATAGTGACAACATTTTCAGATGTTGTAACTTTCTAGAGGACTCATTATTTCTCCATTTTGGAGAAGACCAACCGATGCTTATTTGTTGAACTCCTCTAGCATTCGCACCTTACAGCTGACTAATGCTCCTAGCACCTCCGGTTTCCTAAAGCCTTCAAGTAGGGCTGAGGTCAGAAAGTAATGCAAAAGCATTTGAAAAGTGCCAAGAGACAGGTTTCTAGAATAAAATCAGTATGGGCGTAGGATTGAGAGGAGTCTACGGTGGCTGTGGAATGCATAAAGGTGTACCTACATGGCTAATGAATGGAAAATGCTTTCAATTTCCAGTTGTCGATTTAAATTTTTAAAAAATGTTTATTCGTTTTTGAGAGAAAGAAACACACAAAAAGTGTGAGCAGGGGAGGGGCAGAGAGAGAGGGAGACACAGAATCTGAAGCAGGCTCCAGGCTCTGAGCTGTTGGCACACAGCCTGACGTGGGGCTTGAACCTATGAACCAGGAGAGCATGATTTGAGCTGATGTTGGATGCTTAACTGACCGAGCCACTTAGACTCCCCCAACACCAAAAATTTTTGATAGCATTTCCAGCTACTGAAATTGGTAGCTGAAGAAGACTCAATATCTGACTTGGACCTTCAGAGGCCTTCTGGTCAACCTCTGCTACATTTTGCCTGTGCCCTCAATTCAAAGCCAAAGTCTGACATGGCAGTATTCTTTGACCTTTGGCCTGACTACTCTTCTTCTAAACAGTGCCATTGTCAACATGTAAGCAGTTCCAGCTCTCCCTCTGATGTGTTTTAGATATTTACAGCCAAATAAGACTTTCTAAACTCATACTTTGATTTGTGTAAATGATCATTGCTCCATAAAAATCAGTGCTGAGTCAGACAGCCCAGTAGCTTCAAATTCTCCAATTTCAGTAGCTGACCATAGCTGTGTCCTAACTGGATCTTTTCACATCAGCATGCCTCTTGAGATAGCCGTGTATTCAAATCTCTGTCTGCTTTTCCCTGTGGTCTGCATGTTACTACATTTTCTCCCCTGCCCTTAGATGAACAACCTTCCATCAGACTTGGACCTCCAGCATCTGTTCTCTACTTACACGCAATGCTGGAGTTTGTTTATTCTTTGCCATAGCCGACTTTCTCCATTCCTTGACCGCTACATCGAAATGCTGTTCGGTGTTATGAATAAAATCCCGAGTATACATCAAAGGGAATAGCTTCTTTTACCCCATGTTTTCTCAAGGTTCTTCAGGGTCTTTGATAAACCCTCATTTTAATTCCCCCTTTCCTGACTCCTCTGATCATTTTCCTCCTTTTTATCTGTGTTTCACATATTGGTGTCACTTCACTGGCTAAAGAGGTTTAGAAGCATGAGAAAGTATTATGTCTCCTCAAGATGTTCTCCATGTAGAACAACAGGAGAAATGGTCGGTCACTGTTTTTCTGAGTCATCTGGATGTGATTCATTATGCAGATGCCATAAGCCACAGTCCTAAGTTAGGCATTCAGCTCAAATTATCTATAACTCAGCTTTAAATTAAGAAAAAAAAAAAGCAAAAACAAAAAAACAACCCATAGTCTCAAGAGGGATTTGAATAATCATTTCCCTGATAAATTTCCTTTTAAGCATATTCCTGAGGGCAAATATTCTAAGTCGTAAAGACAAGATTGAAGAGCTCAAGTTGTTTTATTAAAAAATATTTCTTAGTTTGGTTCATGGGTAGGGGATTGATATTCTGCATACTTTCTTATTCTATTTGGTGCTATAGTTCAGTGAAGTGCTAAGCGGTAAATAATACTTAGTCTAGGTCTAAAATCTGAGCAGAGATTATAAAAGTCATGTGTGTATCATAGACATAAAGTTATTTAGAGGTGATATGGTTAGTGTTTACCTAAAGGGAAAGCCTAAGAATATAAGGTGTTTTGGCATATAAGATAACCAGCAATTTAGTAATAAAGAGAGGTTAAAGGTTAAAATCTAAGGGTAAAATCTAAACTTCGATTTCCTTTCTTACTTTTAGACCAAGATTTTATAAAGTTGATTACAATTTTTAAAACTCACCTGGATTGTTCGTATAAAGCCCACGGTTACCCGTTCTTCAAATTCATTCAGGGGAGTATAAAGGTTTAAAATTTTGACAATCTGTTGGAATGAAAACAAAAGCTTAGCACAGACCTAAAGGAACAGAAGACAACTTTCGAATTTCAGAGAATATAGGACATTGGCACAAGAGTACAATCCTCTTTAGACAGGACCCACAACTCTGAGCTGGAGAGACAGCTGGGAGTCTAATTAATAAACTACAGTCCATAGGCTTTGTTGGGAGATCTGAGCCCTCTTACTGCATTCCCGTCTCCTACATCCACCCACCCCTCCAGCTCCTGGCTTGTAAGATGATAATTCTAGGAAACGGTTGCCTGATATCCTCAGCTTCTTTTTTTTTTTAATCCCCTGAAGCTCACCTTCCAGGTAAACCCTAGATTTTTTTTTTCATGTTCTTATTTATTGTTAAAGACAGAAAGAGTGCACACACATCGGGGAGGGGCAGAGAGAGAGGGAGACAGAGGATCTGAAGCAGGCTCTGCACCAACTGCAGAGTCTTATCCTGGGCTCAAGCTCGTGAACTGTGAGACCATGACCTGAGCCAAAGTCAGATGCTTACCCAACTGCGCCACTCAAGTGCCCCTGAAATCCTCGGCCTCTTCTAGTAGTCACTGAAAGGTTTCTTTTAAAGAACACTGGATATTTTACCTTATATAATAAAAGTGTTTAACCATCACTCTCTCCCTCCCACCACCCCCAAAACCACTTATAAAGGAACAGATTTTTTTCCTATTTGAACCTAGGATAATCTCCTGTCTGCCTACCAATGATCTAGTGGAAGTAGCCTGCCTAAATGCAAAGCAATGCCAGTTGAATTCTAGAAGTAAACTTCTGAAAGCAAAATATTTTTTAAAAGGGGGATAAAGTTTGAAAACTTGCAGTACATTTATGCAAGAAGCATTTTCCTTAAGAGTTTGGCATGTCATCTTTTTAGTAGTTAATGGGGGAAGTGAGGAAAGGTGGATTTACTTTACAATACCCAGTTTGGATTTTGCTCTTTAGGTGTTAGATAGGGAGAAGAAGGTGCATGATTTATCTTGGAAAGTCTGATTTCCTTGTGCTGATCTCATTTTGTGAGGCCACCCTGTATGGGCCCATTTCTAAATGGGCACACCCATGATGGAGGGCAAGTCACCCTGTGTGGGGACTGGATTTATCTTTTGATAGACTGGTAATAGCTCTGCAGCAGAGTCCTGATATAAACACTACTTGGCCGGGGTAGGGTTAGGGGAGGTGGGGGAAAGACACATTCAAATGCCTTTAGGTTAAAATCATGCTAATGGATTATAAGTGAAAACATGACCATAATGAAAGTAGAGTTGTAAAGAAAGTGATTTAATGACAAATGCCTGATGCTGCCCATTTCTGAACAAAATTTGAAATTTCTAGTGAGAAATATTCTAGAATTCTGTTTTAAAATGTTTTTACCTTAAAAAAAACGAATGAAAATTAAAAAAAAAATAAGGACTCTTGAGTAGCTTGGTCAACAAGCATCTGACTCTTAATTTTGGCTCATGTCATGATACGGTGGCTGTGAGTGAGATGGACACCCCTGCTGGGCTCCATACAGGTGTGGAGCCTGCTTAGGATTCTTTCTCCCTTCCCCGGCTTGTGTGTTTGGGGGAGCACTTTCACTCTCTCATTCTCAAAAAACAAAAACCACCACCGAAGAACGTTTTCACCTAAGCTTACTATCTTATCTAAGTGAGCAAGAGGGACCAGAAAGTTATTGGGGGAATGGTGGCATCTTGTTTCAAAGGCCAAGGTGGTCTTTACTGCATCAGGAACATCCGGTCTGCTGCACTAACAACCCACCATCCAGAATGGACTCGGAAGGGAAGGCCGGACACCCACACTGGTGGGGCCGCCATGGTCATACCTGCTGGGTGCTGAGGGAGGTGCACAGGGAGCAGATGGCCTCTGCATCCTCGGGGGTTTTCTTCTTTAACTGCAGGAGCTGGGCTGCTTGGATCAGAGGTTCCATGGTCTGGACTGCTCCGCTCTGGTGAAGGTTTCTTCCCCGAAGCCACTCTTCAAGTTGACTTATATTGTACCTTAGATACAAGTCAAAGTGAGCTGTGTTAAGCCAGTCCTCCTAACGCACTGGGCGTGCACACCTGTTGTGTTCATTGTGCGGCCTAGTTGCAAACAGTGTGATCATTCTCTTCACTTCATTAGCTCAAGTGGGCGAAAGCTGGAAAAGCACCCAGCACTGGGCAGCATTTTGCTGAATTAATAAGTGAATGATTAGGTGCTTAAAATCAAGCAAAGATGAGTTCCTGAAAGGTCTGTGTTAAGTTAATGGGAAAATGAAGCATTACATAGATTGAATTAAATTTTTTGAAGGCTTTTAACTAATTTGTTTAACAGGTCACCAACTCCGTGTTGTTGAATTCCACCAACAGATGGTGATGGAATTGAGTCACATACCCACTGTCACAAGGACCACCAGTTAGATGTGGATTCCACTTTCAGAGACAAAGTCCCTGTGCTCAACTCCAGCCCGGGTGTGCGGGCCCCTCCACCGGGGTGGCAGGCGCGAGGCACCCGTCTCCTACCTGAGCTGCATGCCTGTGCTCCAAGAGCAGACGTCCTTCCGCAGAAGCAGGTTGTTGAGGGTCACAGCGTTGATCATGTAGAAAAGCTGCTTGAACACCTGCAGGATGATCTCGGGGTCCAGGCCCTGGTCGCACATGACTGTGTGAAAGGAGTTCATCTGGCGGATGATGGCTTCCAGGCAGCAGGAGTTGTCCCCGTCCACCATGCTGGAGGAACGCTTGCGGTAGCCCGTTGGCTTCACACCAGAGAGACCCTGAATGCTCTCATTTTCTAACATCGCAGAAACTGAAAGAAAGGCAGGATGAGAGAAGCTTGCATGTTCCCTACAGAAGATCTGGTTCTGGACCAATCAGATCAAACCGTACTTGAGACTTTGGCGATGTCACCATCCACCAGTTGATGCGCTTAGAAACTGAAGGCATTTAGCAGCTGAATTTCTAATGTGTTGGTCTCTATGTGGAACAAAATTTCCATACAGAAATCTCGGATCACATCTGTAGACCAAACTTTCGCTTAAATTTATTGGTGATGGGATGACAATAATGGGCATGTACCTACTCAGTTCTGTACTGTGTCCACAGTTTGAGAATTGAGCAACTTGGGTATTGTCCTGGTCTACCCACTGACTTGGCCCTAGACCCTGAGATCATCCCACTGATGTTCAAATAACTCTTTTTATATGAGCCATGGACCATATAAATCTTACGTTAACTTGTCTGTCATACTTACTGCACAGTGTTTCACTATGTGCCAGGTGATTTATGCTCAGTATTTCTTTCCCTCTTTCAACAACCCATTTCCTAACCAGGAAGTTGAAGCATCAGGACATTAAATTACTTGCCTAAGGTCACAATGCCAGGAGTTGGCAGGGCCAGGATTTGTGCCCAGGAATGACCAACTCCAGACCTGGCGCTGTTAGCCATCACGTTATTTTGAGTCGTAAAGTATTCCCAGTTCTCCCTAGGCCTGTTACCTCAAAAAGATTGTCAGATGGGGAGAAGAATATGGAATACAACCTAACCTAGAAGTTCTGGATGGCATGAAAGACCTGTCCTACTTGGAATTCACCTATAACCTATTTATGTTTTAAAGACCTGGGGGGAAGCTTTACAGCATAGGCCCAAGGGACAATTCCCTCCCTAGCCTTTATGGGACACACAGTGATGCGTGCACATGTCATCTTTCTTTTAACTTACCAAATAACAGCTTTTTTCAATCTGATTTCATGTGAAGTGCCCAAGTATATGGCTTTGGACAGAGGGTTCGATAAACATTTATTGAACTGGTGCTTACTACTGTGTCCTCTCACATGCACATGCTTACTTTTCCCCCCATGAATAAAGTATACATGTGGGCACAGGGAATATATTTTTTTCACCATATATGCATTTATACCTTTCGAATTTATATTTATCACCTATGGAAGATTTCATAGCTCTGAGCACACAGCACACACACACCTCCTTGCTGCCTTGATTGGGAAGGTCCTGGTTTTCTGACGGCCATGCCTAAGATACCGGTTTTCCTAAAAGCAGGCATGTGCACCATCGTTTCTGACCCCATGACGAGTGCTGGACATCGCCCGCTGCCACCTTACCTATCATAGGCTGCAAGACCCCCTCGGCGATTTTAATGAGTTGCTGGTAGATTTGAATGGAAAGGTCACTCAGCACCTGGCGGTATTCAGTGAGGTCAAAGTTCTTAAGACAGTGCTCGTTCTGCTTGGCAGTATTCTGAGTCATGAAGCCCTGCAGAGAGAGAGCCAGCAGGGGGTACTTTAGAGGCTCAGTCGTCTGCTGGATCAGCAGGACTTGCGGGCCTCAGGTGACTTTCATATTGCCCTATCTGTGGGGCCCGATCAGGCTCTATTAATATGAGGTTCCACAAGAGCCTGTAGAGCTTCTTGTGGCCTCAGGGGTAGCCCTTTAATTTGAAGGCAGAGCAAAAACTCAGCATGATAAAGAAGTCGAAGCCGCTTAATTTAAAAAGCCTAAATCGTTTAGTCCACCTCCTGAGGTGGTAATTTCCCTACGGCAGCAAACCCACATTGGCAGCAGGTCCAGGGAAAGAGGGATTCAGGCTGTCAGATCCTGTCCCATTCTCTTCCTAATAGGTCAGATTACTTTAAGATGTGAAATACACAGCCACTAAATGAGTATGGCCCTGGATCAGATGGTTTTGATAACAAGAAGTTTTACATGGATTCTATTGTTGGGTGTCAGAATAAGCCGCAATGATGTCATGGCTACAGCACCATGTCCTCTTAGCTTTCTATGCTAACAAGATGAAATAATGTTAAATTGAAAGGTTTGCTAATATCGAAAAGGATTCATGTGACCAATGTCCCTTTGCATGCAAGCGAAGGTAAACCAACAGGAGCCGGAAAGGTGTTTTCAGAAGAGTGACCACGCTCAGCAAAGTCTCTCATACTAGGTCACGGTACAATTCTTTTTAATGCTTATTTTTGAGAGAGACAGAGCGTGAGTTGGGGAGGGCCAGAGTGAGGGAGACAGAATCTGAAGCAGGCTCCAGAGTTGTTAGCACAGAGCCTGACACGGGGCGTGAACCGTGAGATCATGACCTAAGCCGAAGTTGGATGCTTAACCGACTGAATCACCCAGGCACCCCACAAAGCAATTTTTAATAAAAAAAATAAAAATAAAAATAAAAAGCAGGTGCAATAGCTAAGATATATATTTTTCCCCCTCTTTATTTAGACTGCACACCTCTGGTTATACTGTACTTCAAGTCTTATGCCTCTCATTATGTTATTCTCAATATAAGCAAAAAAGGAAGGGGAGAAAGGAACGTCAATGGAACCTCCAGGGATCTGGGAGGAGTTGGGATTCTTGCTGGAGAAACCAGAGCGAAGACATATGCCACATGGCACAAAGTCACTGGGCTAAGTGCAGAGTATGGCCACAGTTCTTTCGGGGGCCAGTGTTGGGAATGGTGAGCTCCAGGTGAAGCCGGGGGCCCTCAAGGATCAGAGTAGAATATGAAAATAATGCAGTCAGCTGGGCTCCAGGCTGAGTAATCAAATTTGGCTAGGAATATAAAGCTGGGCCTTAAGGCCAATGTGCACAAACGTAGTTTAATTATGTCGTGCCTCTGGTTCTGTGTCTGCCTTAAAATGGACAAACTAATTGGTTGGCTTGGGAGGTCATCTTATACATCAGACAACTACCTGAGCTTTCTTCCAGCATTTAGTGAGATGGGGTTCTTCCAGGAATTTGGGGTCACAAGGGTTTCCTTGGAGAGTCCCAGGAGCACCGAGACAACGGATGGGTCGTGTAAACTCATTTCTCTACCAACTCTACTTATTGGATTCAGGGTGCTCTCTGGGGCTCCTGGGACCCTGCAGGTCACCTAGAGACAGGTATCCTGTGGCCCACCTATTACTGCTTCTATCCCGAAGTCCCAGACGGTTCTCCACAGACCTTACATCCTCTCCTCCAGGTAGAACACATTTGGACAGAGCAGGGCTACCTTCCATGACACACCAAACCCCAATTCTGAGCAGAGACCTGAGGTGCTCCAAAGCAGAACACATATCGTGGTGGCCAAGGAAATGAGGGTTTGATGGAAGAATGTGGGGGCACTTGAATGGTTTCTAAGTGCTCTTTAGGGGATGGGGCTCAGCTCACCTCGTCCCCACTGTATTGTTTCAAACAGTGAAGGAGGCGACAGGTGTTGGATAACCAGAATGATGTCATCTCAAAGTCGTCATTGTGCTTCTGTGAAAAGAAAAAAGATGTCCCTACTTATGAGCAGTGGTGCCCATCTGGGTAAATGCTCACCTGGTATCTCTCTCCAGTTCCACAACAACTCCACATGCCCCCAGCAGGCGTGATGGGCAGGCAACTTCCAGTCATGAAGACGAGATCCGCTGTCCAGAGGTTGTACTTCCCGTTCCTTCACTAGTGGGGATGCCACACAGACCTCTCTCCCCCCTGGTTCCCTGGCCTGTGGCCCACACCTGAATGCACTCTCGCAAAGCTAGGCTACCTCTATGGCTGATGAGTACAAAGCCAGGGGACAGACAAGGCATGAGATCAGCAGCCCTGGGCTGTACATGAACCACTGGACATCTGGCCCTGGCAGGTCCTGATCTCTCAGTTACCCAACCTAAGGGATGTAAGGAGCAAGCCAGTGAAAAACTCTAGCACCCTATTATCTAGAGGGCAGATGTCCCATGGCTTCAACCATCTGGAAAAGGGCTATGAACCATGACTTGATGAAAAAGGCTGTTCGACAACCCAAAGAGCTATGACACAGTTTCTGTCCCAAGGCCAATAACCGCACGGAACTCATTTTGTCAGGTTGAATTGTCGCTGTTTAAACATCCGAAGGTAGGAGCTATGATGACCACAGAATCAGAGTTCTACAGAAAGTGACGGGTGGGGCTGGGCATGCTAGGGACAGAGCCTGGTCGTTAGGAAAGGTTTCCCTGAAGAAGAAACCTGTGAAGTCAGCCCAGGGCTCACCCAGATGGTACTCATTTTAGAGGTCGAGGCAGGAGACCCCAACCTGGTCCCCATTGTGTCTGTTTAGGGCCAGGAGGGGATGAAATGGCCTGTGGGGCCCAGAACTGGGCAGGTGGTGCAGAGACCTAGACCGGTGGGCAGGAAGCTAGGAGTTCAAGGCTGGTGCTGATGTGCTCCCAGAAGGAAAAAGGGGGTGAGCGATAGCGGCTTCGTGGGTCTCTGAATCAGCCTGGACTCCGAGCTTTGGAGGATGGCTTGCAGCTTGCAGGGGAGTGTGTAGGAGGCCTGAGGGTAGTCTTTGGGAGCAACGCCATGTGGGGCTTGGGCCCATGCGGAGGAACAAATCCCTCCTAGTGGGAACTGTGCTCCCCCAAAAATCTCACCACTCCTTGCAGCCTCCATGTGGTCAGCCTACAGGCCAGCCTCTCTGCAGAGGCAGCCACCACACTGGTGAGGAGTCCTGTGCCTGCAGGTGGGGTCGCCAAACCTCCCCTGTTCCGGCCTAGGCCTCCTCAATTGCAAGCTGATGGATGTGTGCACCCTTTGCCATGCCATCGCCCCGGGTGCTGGGCACCCAGCTCCGTGGAAAGGTCTGGGAGAAGGCCTGGATTCAGGCTGTGCTCCTGGACATCACTCCAGGGCAGGGTGAGCCCACCCTTCACTGAGGCAGGACATCCTCCTTGCATTTCTAGCCAAGGCTTTTGGAAGCACCAGGTGCCCTGGATTTCTGGACATCCTGCATCCTCCATTTTGGAGCCCGAGGGTCCTTTTCTAGAAGCTGCCTAGGCAATCTGGTTCCACCCCAAGCTGATTCTGTGCTTATGCTGTTTACCTTCAGAGCTGGAGATGGGAGAAAACCTGCTGCTGCAGAGCCCAGAAGGACAGCGGCTATGAGGACATGTAGGTTTCCCTCCATCTACTGCAAACACCACCTCCGGCCAGGGGCACTCACCTTCAGGACTTTCTTAATGCCATTGATGGTGGAGGTCAGCAAGGAGTGCACCTTGAGGTCGTCGTTGACATAATCGGCGTGCCTGATGCACATGTAGAGGATGTAAGCGGGGAGACAGGGCACCGTGCCCGCCAGGGTCTGGGGCTTCAGGTCTGACGGTAACAAGCAGCCGAGAATTAGATTATAGTACATGCTTGGGGGCTCTGGGAATCCTGGTCTGATGTACAAAGATCTTCCATATTTTCCTTATGCTCATTTAAGAACACACTCTCATGGAGGTGAGGGAGGGGGACCAGGGAGGAGGGCAAGAAGCTGCCTTGGATACACAAACACCTTCAGACCCTGACGACTAGTTTCAGAAACTAGTTAAAAACTTCTACCTAATTGGACTATAACGCTAACTAAAACAGGCTCCTAATGGCTCATCTTTACAACATGAAGGGAAAGAGCCCACAGGCAGCTCGCTGCCTGAGTTTCCATAGAGGCCATGGCCCTTGGCCACAAGAAGGTTCTCCAAATGGCTCTCCAACCAGCGAAAGCTCAGGGTAGGGGCCTGCTGTGCCCACAGCTACTGCTTGTCACTTACAATGGGCCCTTTGGCAGCGGGTTGCAAGAAGGGGTCCAAGGAGAACTTGGCAAACTGCACATTCCCGAAGACAGCCTGTGTGCCAAGGGCTGGGAGGCCACAGGGACCTTTAGCCTACTTAGCTATCAGTGTGGAAACTATTTAGCTGGCAGAGGTGCCCAGACATTCTCAGCCAATAACGGCTGAGTAGGCCCTCGACTGGCCACAGCCACGCCCTCGCCCCCCTCCCCTGCAGGGCCACCACATGGCGGGCGTTTCACCAGCCCCTCCCCTGCTGGCCTAACCCACGTATAGCTTGCAAACGGCTTGTCAAGTCCTGGAATGTCCTACTGGGACTTGGGTCCTATTTCCCATAGACTTCTTGGTCTGCCCAGCTGAATGTAGCATCTTGGGGGAAGGGACCATGGCTCTACGTTTCTCTGTCCTCCAAAGCAACAACCAGCCAGCGTGGGTACCCTCAGAGGACCAAGTCTTGGCATTAGTTTGGAGGACAAGAGAGAGGGAACGGTGGAGGGAAGGTGACTGGGCACTGTGTGCAGGCAGCTTAGCGGGAGACGGCCTTGTCTGGGGCCCCCTGGGCACGGGCACAGGGAGGAGCCACTGGCCTGCTGGCACACGCAGCCTCCATCACTAGGTTTTCACTCTAATGTTGTCAACGCTGAGTTTCGGTCACCACAGATTAGAGACTCGTCCCTAGCAGCACGAAAACAAGATGCAGCCTGTGTAAGGAGATGTGGGAGGACTCCTGTCACATCGTAGGACAACTGTAGGGGAAGTTAGCCTTTATCAAAAGAACAGAATACTCAACTACTGCAAATACGCAGAGCAAAAATCCGAAGCGAATCCTGCGCTAGGCTGGAGTCACCCTATTCTTCTGTGGCCCTGGCCTGGTGCCCAGCAGGGTGGGAGCTCTCTAAGCTTACATTTCTCTGAAACAATGTTTACCACTTATGTTAACTTCAAATACCCCTGCAAAAGCTACCACTTCTTCAAATCCGATGTGAGATTTTTCGTGGCTTTAGCACAGTACTTTCACCTGTTATGTTTCACAACAGGGGGCAGGTGGGGTCAGTCGCCTCACCCCCATTTTACAGAAAACCTGAGGCCCCCGAGAATGGAGCTCGCGGCTCAGAGCCCAGGGAACCAGGCTACCAAAGATTCTTCCTTTCTCTCATCCAGGACTCTGTTCTCCATGCCTCTCTCCCTACCCTGCAGGCAGGTGCCTACTTGGCTGGCACACAGCAGGAAGGCAGGCGTGTTGAAGCCAGATGGAGAGGGGTCAGGAGGGACAGAGCTGCTGTGACTGGCATACCAGGCCTGAGGCTGGCGGTGGGTGAGGTGAGGGGGAACAGAGGGCTGAGGCTGGGTGGGGGGCGCAAAGTGGGGAGTGGGTCCTGGTGGGATGGCAGTGGAGTCGGGGGGGGGGGGAGTCTAGGGGGTTGGGTCATCACAGAGGGTCCTGACCTGTCACTAGGTTCCGAATGAGAAGGGCCTCGTCTTCCTTATGGTACTCCAGCATGCCCTGGAAGTCCTTCTCCTTCCGCTGGACGGTGACCTGCCTGTTGAGCTCATGACGTCTCCTCTCACTCTGGGCCAGCGCCTGGGCAGCTGCTCAGGAAAGAGACAGGGAGCATGAAGAGACACCTCCAGGCTGCAGGCCCAAGAGGCAGGGATGCCTTAGGTCGGTGGTGTCTGAGCCTGGGCCTGGGGACCCAGCATTCTGGGCTCTCTGAGCTCCCGCACCCCTCACGTGGTCTGTCCCCGCAGCCCAGGCCACACTCCAAGCATGACCCAAGTTGCTTAGCACCAGGCACTGGGGTCTGTGCCAGGCAAGGGTGGAGCCAACCTCCCACTAGGCAGGCAGAGCAGGGGGATCCTGGGAAGGACGGAAGGTCCAGGCTGCACGGCCCAGGCTGCCAGGGGGTGGGTACCCCCCTCCAGCTGTAAGAAATGGAGCTGCCATCTGTCTGGAAGGTGGTCATGGGCCCCGGCCGGCCGCCCTGTCGGGTTCCCTGCATGTGGCCACAGGGCAGCTGTCGGGACAGCTGCAGTGTAGCCCCATGTGTGTGTGGGGCCTGGGCACTGTCACGGATGTGAAGCAGGATAGTAGCAGTGGCACAGGAAGGTAAGGGACCATTTGTAGCCTCCAAACGCAGATCAAGAAGCAGGAGTGTGATAGGCAGTCTTTGCAATGATGCAAGTTTGCAAAGGATTCAAGAGGCATTTGGCTGGCATTTTGCTGGCTGGGGTAACAAAGGCTTGTCAAGCCTCCCTCAGGACTTCTGTTGGCCTGACATCATGGACAGGGTGGTGGGCACCTGCAGGGCTCTCCCGAGAGCCTGCTACCTACAGGGCACTGTTCTAAGCATGGGGGCAGATGTGATGGGGCCTCTCTCTGAGGACGCCCCAGTCTAGCTACGGAGACACACCCAGACGTTTCCACGGGAACACACATTACAGCACAACCTGGCCAGGTGCCCGGCCCCGAGTGAGGGCTGCGGTGACTGCTGGAGCTCAAGGGAGGAGAGGTGAAGTTGGGGTGGGGATCTGAGCAACCAGGTGGGAAGGAGCTGACCCACCAGCCCCAGGGCATATAAGGCTCCCAGGGGCACAGGAGAGGGCAGAGCGAGCACCGAGAGGCAGGCATGCGCTGGAGGGGAGGCTCTGTGTGGGGCGGGGTGAGCGGGAGAGGAGCGGAGGGAGAGGGTGCAGCACGTTCCGCGGGGAAAGAGGAGGTGGCTGGATACAAGGGTCAGGGCACAAGTGGGGAACGGGAGGCTGCCGCCGTCACGCGGGGACTAGGGGAGGAGGGGCGGGCAGGGCAGGGAGAGCAGATGATGGTAGGTCTTCAGGATGGAACAAAAGGGAGAAATCTGAAGCCTGTGTGACCAGGAGAACTCAAGAAGAACGGAGAAACCCAAGGACGGCGTGGGGCCGGACAGACCAGATAAGCCCTGGCCTCCTAGAGCCTCCTCTGGAGTAGCAGGTGGACGTGAACAAGTGATTAACCAACGTCTGTGTTGGGTGCTGTGCCCAGAGGCACATGGTATTAAGGACAGTGAGAGACAGCACTTGAGCCCTGGGGACATGGTTTTTTTTTTTTTTTTTAAATATTTATTTCTAGGAGAGAGAGAGACAGAGTGAGCAGGGGAGGGTCAGAGAGAGAGGGAGTCACAGACTCTGAAACAGGCTCCAGGCTCCGAGCTGGCAGTCAGCACAGAGCCTGACGCGGGGCCCGAACCCACGAANAGACTCTGAAACAGGCTCCAGGCTCCGAGCTGGCAGTCAGCACAGAGCCTGACGCGGGGCCCGAACCCACGAACCGCGAGATCATGACCTGAGCGAAAGTCGGACGCTTAACCGACTCAGCCACCCAGGCGCCCCGGGGACATGGTTCTTGAGATGAGACTGAAGGGATGAGGGGAAGGATCCAGGCGGTGAGGGGACCAAGGGAGGATTCCGTGCTAGGTGGCATGTGCCAAGAAGGTGTGGAGAATGACAGATTTATAGTAAGGAGTCAGGGCAAGAGAACATTCTGGATGTTTCTGGAAGAGCAATCTAAACCTGCCTGACCAGGGCCAGATTCCAGTTTGGAAATTTGGTCATAAGACTGACCCCTCTCCTTCCTGACTGCCCATCGCATCGAGTGAGGGTCCGGGTCTATGTGTCAGGTAGCATTCCCCCCGCCGCCCCCCGAAACCCTGCCAAAAAGTCTTGCCTTCCAGCTTTAAGTCCTTGGAGGGTAGGGCCATAAGGACACTGTCTCGGTGCAGAGCTCAGAGTAAGCACCTGAACACATGATTTATGTACCTGAGTCCAGGATGTTGGAGCTTGTGGGCAGCTCTATCACGTGACTGGACTGGGCATGGGCACCAGGAAATTGGTAAAGCAGAATGAGTGTGCAGAAGGAAGCAGCAGTTCCCTTCCCGCACTCAGGACAGAGCACACATGTGCTTCACCCTCCCCCCCCCGCCCCCACGCTCCCATCCACCTACCTTCTAGGTCCTGCACTTTCTTCATGTAAATCTTCAGTTGCTTTTTGAGCTTCCTCTCATTCTTTTCCAGCTTTTCTACCAGCTCCTTAAGGTCCTAAAATCCGAAAGCAGCAGTGTGAGGTGGCCACCAACCTCGGTCAGGGCATACACCCTTGCTGACCGATGGCCTCTAGATTCTCTATTCCTGCAACAGGGCCAAGGACACAGCCCTGGCCCTTGTCGCTGAAGGCCTTCTCCGCACCACCCCCCTTTCCAGAGCAGGAGCCAGAGCAGGGCCTGCGGGCGCCCTCACTCACCAGGTTCTCGTTGGTGAGCCGGGAGAGCTCCTGCTGGACGCCGAACTCCACCTGGGCCTCCGGGGAGAGCAGCAGCGTCTGGCAGAAGGTCTGCTGCTGCTTGTCCAGCTCCTCCTTGAGGCCTTCCACCTGGGCCCGGAGCCCCTCCACTGCCTCCTCATGCTCGCGGCTCTGGGCCTGCAGCTGGGCCTCCAGCAACCTGCCCCGGGGAGACGAGGGCGGGTGACCCCGGGGCGCAGGGGAGCGCCCTACGCGAGGGGCCGCAGACAGACACGCAACAGAGGAGCAGCCAAGCACACGGCGGCAGCAGGTGCACAGACCAACAGGGAAGGATGCTGAGGGGAACAGGCTGGCAAGTGGGCCAGCCTGTCCTCTTCAAGGATGGGAACTCGGGGCCACACACACACACCCCTGGTCTTAGGCCTTTTTCCTAGACCTCCCCGCCCCCCCCCCGCCACCACTGCCATTCCCTGTTCCTTATTCTGTGCAGTCTCTTCGTTTGGGATCGAGAGACTGTCTCCATGTCAAAATGTCACCAGTGGAAATAAATTTCTTATAGCACCATTGACATAAACATTATCTCCATCTGCCCATAGCCTGCGAGAATCTCCTCGTTAAGACAAAACCCTAGTAGACTGAGATACTTCTATCACCTGCATATTTCCCCTATTGTAGATGATCGGCAAGTTTTATAAAGGCAACACATTAGCCCCCTTCCTTATTATCTTCACCACCACACCCACTTTACCTGTGGATGTAAATATACCATTTCCTCTCTAGTCAAAACAAAAATTAAGACTGTTTGCAAACCATCTGGGGAAAGGTTTAAGCTCAGCTGGTGTCATGAGCAGAAAGACCTAGAGAAGATCTGAGGAAAGTTGGAGAGAAGTCTCAGAAGACTCTGAGTCTAAAAGTCACCTGCACCATCCTGGGAGACACCTGTCCCATCATAAGAGAAGGCAAGGGGTTAGAGAAGCTTCCGAAGCTGCCTTCTGCTCAGGAAGTGCTAATATGAACTAGGTGCTACCTTCTTGGATTCAAGACCAAACTTTCTGACTCAGGGCAGTCAGCAATCACATGAGAGGAAGAGAGGAGGTTCTGGATGAAAGGTATATCCAAAAGCGGTCTGGCACGGTCCACATGTTGGAAATCCACCCCGGTCTTTTCCAGGGATGCAAAGATTGTGACCAGAGCTTAGCAGTCAGGAACTGGAAGTGCCTCAGAAATGCCAGTAAGAGTCCCCAGCTGCCCTGGAGGCAGGGAGGCAGAGAGAGACGGTTTTTAGTTTCGCTAGTTTGGCTGCAAGACAGGAGGGAGCAAGTCTCCAAAAGAGCGAGAGACAGGAAGTGGGTGGTCCGCTCCCCCGTGGATGTGCGCAGGTCTTCTATAGCTGCCGGCTCCGCTGTGACATCGTGTGTGACGCCTGGCTCCCAGGGGCTTCTCGACGCTCATACACAAGAATGAAGAAACAATGGAGAAATGGCTGATTCACCCATTCAACACAGGCAGTGTCACCAATTGAAAGAGCCACACGGACATGTGGATTGTGGAGGAGAGTTCTACAATTAAATCAGCATTTTAGAGGACATACGATAGTCACAGAATATCCGATCTCAGCTACAATACACTAAAAGCATCACCAGTAAGTTATAAACCTACTGAGAGAAAATAGAAATACCTAGGTTCTAGGGACTCTACCCCAAGGGTCAGTTCCTGGTTTGTGCTGTGAGTTTGTAGCCACATCTTTCTTATCTTCCACAGAGACTACAGTTGGGTGGCTTAGCCCAGGGTTGTGCGCAAGGTCCCAGAATCCCTGTCCAAGCATCAGGCTAGACGCCTCATCTAACTGAGGTCAAGGGTTCTGATGCCACAGCCAGTGACACAGCTGGTTCTAGAAGCCAGGACTCCTGATGGATAGGTCTACGCTTTCAGTTTTGTTAATGCATGCATGTACTTACTTATCAGAAAAACACCTAATCTAGAGAGCCCCAAGGAGTCACCTGGTTTTACACATAGGCTCCTGCTCTAATAAACTAAACTTCTCGGTGGGACAGAACTTGTTGAATAATAGCCATTATAACAGAAGTATCAGCTTCTGTTATACGCCAGGCACATGCAAAATGCTTCACCTGTGTTAACTCTACTCCTTATAACGACTCCATGAGGCAGGTCCTCTTCTGATCCCCATGAGACCAGCAAGGTAAGAGACAGAGGACACCTTGCTGCCAGGCAGTGGGGCCGAGGGAGACACACTGCCTCGAGAACCAGTTGACCTGGACTTTCTATTCCCAACAACAAATGCTCTTATTGCTGTAAAGGGACTGCCAGCAGGTCATCAGCAGGCAAAGCCTTGGAGATAGTGTGTGACAGCATCAGGTTCCATTTTCAGCCTCCCCCCACCAGGCCGAGTGAGCTGGGCCAGCACTCACTCCACCTGTTTCCTCTTCTGGGAAACAAGCCTGCAGACCATCGCCCCATCTGTTGCTGGGAGGCTCAAATGCACAAAGGTACATCACAGCCCCGCAGCACCATGCGTGGGCAGCCAATGGAGGGCCACGGCCATCACATTTTGCTGTTTCTGTGCATGTTGAACCTCCCTTGCCAAACTGCTCACCGACAGCTGAAGACCAATGGCTTATGGATTCAGAATCTGGGATCAAATGGAACCAGATTCAAGTCCTGGATCTTCTACTGAAGCAGCAAGTTCCTGAAATCCTGCAAGCGTCAGTGGCCTAGCCCCAGGAAGGTTCCACTGAGCCATCAGGTGCTACTGCCCAGATCCTGATAAGCAGCCTCTCCAGTCTCACCCACGCAGCCAGAACACAGAGCGCCAGCCAGGTAGCCTGAGGGGCCCCGTGATTCGTGCCTTTGCCTCCACTCCAGCTGAGAAACAGCTACGCGTAGACATGAACAGGCAGAACAGACAAAGCAGGCACAGGCAGAAAGGCGTATATTTGACCTGGCAACTTGCTTTAGGCCTTGGTAGGCCAAGCCGAGCTCTCCGTCTTCATTCAAATATCCCCAGTCCTCAGTCTTGCTAGAAATAAAGGACAGAAGAGAGGGCATCCAGCACAGAGGGAAGAGTCAGGGAGGCAGAGCGCCCAGGAAAGTGAGGCCATTTTGGCCAAGGTGTGGACGCCAAGGAAAAAAAAAAAAAGCTCAAGAACTCCCAGTTTCTCTCCTTCCCACCTCATCACCAGCACCCGAGTGCCTAAGAACATCACCTCTCCCGCAAGCTGGGTTTCAGAAGGGGGTCCGTACACTCTCACGGGGGCTCATGGGTCACGAGGGGCTGGAGAACATGTTGCAGAGGAGAGCAAAGGGTTGCTTCTGTCCCTGTAAATCCTGTAACCGGCAATGGTGCAGGCTGGGTAGAGGCATTTCCTTGCCGTCACACTCCACCCTTCCCCCCACCCCTCCTCTGACCAGAAGGATTCAGAAAAGGGAGATTCAGGGGAGATGGCAACAGAGCACGGAGAGGAGGCCCCGTGCACGGTGGAGCTGCAGAGGGGCTCCCGGGATGCTATGTCCGGCTGTACTGGGGCATCCGGCTCAGTGACGACCAAGAAGATGGCTCCCTATTGTCTGCTTTTCAATGTTGCTCTCCTCTCTGTCACTAAGGATACAAAAAGCATTAGCTAATCCCACCTCCAGCCCTCAGTGCAGTTGTACATAATAAAACTGTTAATAAAAACAGTGCCAAGCAGGATGCCAACTGAACGTTCTCTGTTCTACCCGGGGACTGGGGTGCGTTACTCCTACTGACCCAGCCTGGAGTGCAGAAGGCCGGCTGCCTTCTCCTTGCAGATCCTTTCGCCCTCGCACGTCGCCCAGTGTCTGCCCAATGCCAGAAGGGCAGCTCCAGGAGATCAGGCACGCGTCCCATGCTCCCGCATCCACGCACCCGCCCACCTTCACAGCCCTGGGCGCACAGGACACAGCCAGTGGGACAGGGCGGCAGGTGAGCCTCGTCTCGGGAAACTGTACCTCCCTCTCTGCTCCTAGGGATCCTCCTCCTGCTGGTCGGACCCCAGCTTTCCCGGCAGGAATCAGTGAGGAGCTCCAGGTGGTGTGCATGGACCAGCAACCCCTAACTCACAGGGGAGAGATGATCGTCCCCAGGAGCCACTACTACTGCTCCTGCTGGGTTTTGTGGGTGGTGCAGGGGGTGCAGCCACCTGCTTTACCTCCCCAGAGCTCAGCTTCGTGAAGAGGGACCCTGGGCCTTGTGCAGCTCATACAAGCTACTTCCTGGGCAGAGAGGGTCACATGGCTACCAGGTCCTATGCTGAAAAGCTTGAAGGAGAGGGAAGGAGGCAGAGACCATGGTGAGTTTACTTCTGGGGCTACTCTGGCTTCTGTGCCCCAAGGCTACCCTTTACTGCCACAGCTTGTACTCCATCCGGCTGGGCAGTGCGGGGGTAAGTGCCAACCAGCGTATCCTGGGAACCTCTCCTACTTGGGACTCTGGCTCCTCAAATGTCCAGAGCTCTCAGGGCGCCTGGGTGGCTTAGTCGGTTAAGCATCCGACTTTCGCTTAGGTCATGATCTCGCGGTTCGTGGGTTTGAGCCCCGCGTCGGGCTCTGTGCTGACTGCCAGCACAGAGCCTGGAGCCTGTTTCAGAGTCTGTGACTCCCTCTCTCTCTGACCCTCCCCTGCTCACGCTGTCTCTCTCTCTCTCCTAGAAATAAATAAAACATTAAAAAATTAAAAAAAAAAATGTCCAGAGCTCTCACCTAGGCTGGGCCTCCCCAGAGACTGCCTTTTATTGTAGACTTCTTGCTGTCCCCTCCTGTGCTTAGCACTTACCCCGCCTGTGTGTCCCCCATCTATCCTAGCAAACCCAAAAGCGACCTGGGCCGCATCAAAGGGGAGCTGACGGCTTAGCCCCTTTGCCCTTCTCAGCTATTCACACAGCTAACTAGGGCCTTTTAGTAACTAGTGCTTGAACCCAAGTGGGCAGCCACTGGAAGGAATTCCAGGCATTGCTGAACAGGAATGCAGGATCTTTTGCTCCAGCCATCCTGTCCACCATGTGTGGAGAGATCCCAAGATGGAGAGGACTTTCCTGACGCGGACACCTGGGCTAGAACCCAGGTGGGCTTCTGCACCTGGTCTGTGGCTCGTCCCCTGCCCACACCGGCTGGCCCTCCAGATGCCCCGAGGAGGGCACCACTGCTCGCCCTCTGCCAGGTGTCTGTGTGTTGCTGAGTTACACAGTGAGGAAGTTGGCATTAAATTCCTGCTCAGAGGGAGACACTCTCAGAATTCTTAATTCTGAAACACGCGAGGCAGTATGCACAAAGATAAAAGGAGAGACTGTGGGGGCCAGTCGTCCCACAGCGCTCAGGAAGTCAGGCAAACCAGTAAATTAAAAAGCAGTCAACCAGCTCCAGGTCCAGCCTTTGTTCCTGGATGAGAGAGAACCAATTCCTCTGGAGAGATTCTCCCTCCCCTCTGTGTGCTATTAGGACCGAAGGTCTGGGAGGGCGCGCCACCTGGTGGTATGAGAAGGAAAACCCCAAATGACAGCTTACGGAATTTTTTTAAAAAATGTTAAGTACCTGATGTCAATTAAATTAACAAACGTTCACGGAGAGTCTCTGGTGTACACACCACTGTGCTGAGCTCCATTCTCAAGGAGGCTGCAGACGCACTTGAATAAGCCACAGGTAAAGCCTTCAACTGCAGGAGCGTGGAGAACTACCACCCCAAAGGGTATGTTTGCCTATTGTCCTAGGATAATATTTGCTTTCTCTCATGCAGAACATTAGGGCTATGACCCAACAGCCATCCATCTGTCCCTGCCAAGGACCCACCTCCCTGTGGACAGAAACCGGCAAGGTTCGTATGAGCACGATGGTGGTCAGTTTCCAGTTTCTGAAAAGAGCATGTTGTGCTCCACCGATATCCTTATTTCTACCCAACTGCCCAAGAGATTCCCCACAATCTCTAAGAAAGGGAGGCAGCAACCCCAATACCATGAACAGGATGCTCTGTGGACAAATATGCCACTGAATTACAGCAGATGGGAATTGAGCTGATGGCTCGGGACCCACTGAATCCTGGGAACACTTAGGAGGGAATGATCACCTCACAGAAGCCAGCTGAGGATTTCTAGCCAGGGGCAGTTACAGTGAGGACTTGAGAGAAGGGAGCTGGGGAGCAGGAGGCTCTTCCTTCTCCACTGTTCCGAGCGAGGCATCCCATAGCAGCTGGGGCTCAGGGCCAAAGGGGCCACGGAACTCCAAGCCCCTCCTAAGGAGTCTGCACGCACCTCTTTCTGGTTCAACAGGATCCCCAAGCAGGCCCATTAGGGGGTGAGTAACAGCCCCAGGTCTACCTGTCCAAGCCCAGGTGCCATCAGGCAAAGCTACCTTTGGGCCTCCTGTTGTTTCCCGGAAACTGCTGGGAGGAGGGGCTGCCCGGTTTCCTGGGACCCAAGCCAAGGTCCAATACTGCACCCTAAGTCTCTCTTTGGGGTTTGACAGACTTGCGTGGAAATGGCCAGTGGCCAAAGGAGCACTGTTCCAAAGGGGCACTATTCCTGGCCCCAGACCTGAGCTCCCACCACACACGCCTGCTCTTCCTTAGCTTTGCGACCTTGAGTGCACGGCTGGAGGTGAGGCCAGGCTGCCAGGAGCAGGACTCTCCGCCCCACCTGGCTCCCCATCCTCCCCATTCCCTCCAGACCCCCACCTCTGGGGCAAAGACCAGCCGTCTCGTGACTCTGGCCATACAGAAAATGGTTATAATGTTGGTGGTTTCTTAGTTCCCAAAATGTGAAAATGAGAGCCCCTTCTGTAAGCAGAAGAGCTATCCACATTCCTGTGGCTCCTCCCAGAGCCGCCCTCAATACTGGCCTCCCTCCCAAACTTGAAAACAAAGGAAAAGACACAATTGTAAGGATCAAACAGAGCTCTATAAACTCTGGAAGTTAGTAAGCATAAGAAGTTTTAAACTGGGGTTACCATGGACTCTGAGGGGGATGACCGGGCATGCGAGAGTGTCTAGAATCCCTCCATAAATCTTGGCAAACTTCAGTGCAGCAGTGCAAGATTTTCCTGGGGAGGGGACAGAGCTTTGCAGTCCCTCCCACCCCAAATTACACATGCATAACACAACTTCTGTTCAAACCAGAACACTCTCCATTAGAGGGAAATCATAGGAGAGGAAACGCAGCTCGGTCATCAGGGTGCTTTTATCACAGGAGCAGCCCTGGTCACAGATGGCCTCGCTGCTGAGCTCTAGGAATCACGCCTGCACCCCCCTGCCCACTGCTGTCCTCACTCCCTGCTGGGATCACGGTGTGGGCGAGACACAAACTGCAAGGCTCGCTTTCCAGGGGTGGCAGGCACTGGGGAACTGGTGCTTCCGGCTTCCCACTCTGCTCCGGAGACAGCCAGCAGCTCCTTTCTGTACTTGGTTTCACAGGCTATTAGTTTCCTATCATACCATTTCTGGGAACAGAAATATTTTAACATCGAAGAAAAGCTATTTTTATTTTATTACCAGAATTATTGCTGCTGCAAAGGAAGACAAATCCAGGGTAGTAAGGAGCCCCTGGGACTGGATCCCGGACGACCACTTGGGTGAATAAAAAGGGAGCAGAGAGCTGGTAACAGCTGCAGTTCTGAAGATCAGAAAGATACATTCCCTAGCTTGTCAAAGTCCAGCTTGTTTCCCCCCTACCTTTTTTTTTTTTTTAATTCCAAGTATTTCCTGTGCTCTTTTTTTCTTATTCAATGCATTTCTTCACCCAAGATAATTTTTACTAAATCTGGACTCCAGTTTCAGCACTGAGAGAGGGTCACCTTCATTTCCTGTTCTCCCTCCTTTGGGGGACAGAATCGCATCTCTGCAAATTGACTTTCCTGGGGGGGGGGGAGGGTGTCTTGCTAGAATGCCTGCATCTTCTGATTACCTACACAGTGGGTGGGAAGCAGCCCAGCCTCAGAGTCAGGCCTTCGGCATTGTACCTTGACTCGGTTTCAAGCTGGCCGCTTGTCAGAGCAGCTCCCCCTTTCTGGGCCTCAGTTTCCCTATCTGCAGAAACAGGGGTGAGTTTAGAAGACATGGCAATCACAGCGCTGAGTCTCTGAGGCACTGTGCCATTCCTGCAGACGACTTCGCGCTGCCCTCAGCGGCACCCACTGACAGTTTCCGGATGGGCTCGCAGTTTTCATTAACTCTGTACAAATGCTTAGTGACTAATCACCAGTCAGTGAGTAGAGGTGAGAGAAAGGTGGTCGGGGAAAAGGCCGGCTCTGTTCTTACCTGTACCCACGGGGGCACCGAGAGGCAAAGACAGCAATCATGGCAGGAAGGGTTCTAAGTGCAAGACGCAGACTAACTCACCTGACCTTCTCAGTCTCCATGTGAGGTTACCTGCTGTGACTGTCCCCAGTTCAGAGGAGGAGACTGAGGCACGGAGCCGTTATAATGTAGTTACTACGCACTTGGTAAGCCAGCCCTTGGCCACAATGCCCTGGGGTCTCAGCCAGGCTCCCTTGCCATAACCCAGGCGGCTTACACTTAAGGAGGGACTAGAGGTCTGTTCATTAAAGTCCAGGGAAAACTCATTTTAGCCAACGTGGTAGTGGTCAAGTTCTGCCATCCAGCCTCTTGGGTGCCTGGCTTCGGTTCCAGCTCTTAAATGACAGGCACTGGGGCCCCACTGGCTGGGTTGAAGAAAAGATAAATGGGTGCCTGCCTGGGGTGGGGGAGAGGGGCGGGGGCTCAGCTGGTTGAGCGTCTGACTCGATTTCTGCTCCTGTCATGATCTCAGGGTCATGGGATCGAGTCCCATGTTGGGCTCTGGGCTGACAGCTTGGGATTCTCTACCTCTGCCCCTCTTCACCGCCGCCCGCCCCCCCCCCCCCCATGTGCTCGTTCTAAAAAGAAATAAAGCCAAGAGCTGGCGCAGGAAGAGCCCCTCCCACAACTTGGCTGGGCTCATCTGGTGCTGGCTTCCCTCTGGGGGGTGAGGGTGGGGCACTGTCAGCTTGTACTCCTCACTCCTCCTGTCAATACTTGCAAGGAGGCTCCCTTTCCAAATGCTCTTCACAAGATCTGGGCTCTGGAAGCTCCAGCTGTGTTACCGAGTCTTGCTGAAGCTGACAAGTGGTTTGCTGAGGGCGTGGGACTCGCGGAGTCTATTCCACCTCATTTCCTACGTAAACCCTGAGGCTGAGCAGCGTCTGAGAAACAGCCTTCACACATCAGGTTGGGCGAGGCCCTTCCCCATTGCCTCCTCCAGGTACAGGCACCATGAGGTAGGACTTACCTGTTTGTCTGGCAGACCCCATGATAGGCCTCGATGGCGTCTTCCTGATCTACATGCTTCTCACTGTTAGGCCAGCTTGTTCTCGCATTAATGTTCGGCTCCTAGAAGGTCCCAGATTAAAAAAAAATAACTCTGGTTACATAAACAACTGTTGCAAAATGACTTTATAGACTTTGTACATACAGAAGCATAAAAACAAGCTTTTGAGGGGGCGCCCGGGTGGCTCGGTTGGTCAAGCATTCAACTTTGGCTCAGGTCATGATCTCAGGGCTTGTGAGTTCAAGCCCCGCATTGGGCTCTGTGCTGACAGCTCAGAGCTTGGAGCCTGCTTCGGATTCTGCATCTCCCTCTCTCTCTGTCCTTCCCCATTTCTGCTCTCTCAAAAATAAACATTAAAAAAATTAAACAAAAACTAGCTTTTGGGGAAAAAGGAAAGGCCTAAGATGACCTCAGTAAACAGCAGTTAAACCCAGGCATGAAAGGCACTTTCGAAGCCACAGAATGACAAGGCCTGCCTGTAAAAGGCTCTGAACGTGGAGTGGGGGGGGGGGGGGGGGGGGGGGGGGGGGGGGGGGGGGGGAGATGGCAGTGACAGGGTCTCTGAGGCCACAGCACCCCAATCTGAAGGGCAGGGCGAAAATCTGTCTCCGTGTTGATCCTCCACACTCATGAGGGCTTACTTATCCCCTCCATGTCATCCCAGGGCCATGCCCAGAGTGACCCAGGTGGCTTCTGTCTGCCCCTTCCCACTCCCCAATCTGTCCCAGAAGGTGAAAGCATTAGGGACAAATGCTAAGGCAGACTTGCCACCCTGGGTGGGCTGAAAGACTTCCTCTATCTCAGAATCAAAGTCAATAGCAAGAGGTAAAGCACGAGGTGAAATACAAGGCCAAGGGGGCGGCTCAGGCCATTGCTCTTGTTTCTAATTCTGTGTCTTGTTCTTTTTGAACATGTTCATATTGAGTAACTTCAGAAGATTCTAGAAACTTCCAGTAAAGTTTTGCATGAAAGGTCATGCTGAGAAGGCAGCAAGTGCCTTGCTGTGCCTTTAGAGGAGACCCTAGAGTAAGAGAGTCTGCATTTTTTGGGTTTAAGGAGCCCACGGGTAAAGCTATGGAAGCAAAACACGGCACATACTACCTAGTGTCACCCCTCACAAGCCCACCCAGTGCTGTCATCTTGTTACCATGCTCTTGCCGGCGAGCCGGCGCTGGTCGGCGCTGACAATCTGGGTCCTCAGGATGAGCACCTCCTCCTTGCGAACCTCGAGCTCCTCATTGGCCAACTTGAGCTGGTTCAGCAGCAGGCTGTAGCTGTCAGGGGAGCTGTGGGTGGAGTTGTTCTGTGTGGCGTGGTCAGCCACGGCTTTCCTCAGCTCATTCAGGTCGTTCTTCAGCTTCTTGTTCTCTGACTCTAGCTCTTGCCTCTGGAAGACAGACCAAGCAGCACACTCCATATCCCCCTAGATCTAGAGCAGTCTCTTCTCCCCATGAGGGCTTCCTTCTCCACCTTCCAGAATCAGCCTGCCCCAACACCCGCCATGAAGCTAGGAGCAAACTTCTCGTTTTAACAGTGAAACCCATGGAATAAGTTCTGACTGGAAAAAGGTCAGTAATAGTTAAAACTGGGGTCTGGATTTGAACCCACAACCCGAAGTTACTGGTGTGAAGCATCTGACCTGAGGCCTCTAGGAGAGCATTCCCCATGGAGATTAACGGTGTTTAATTTCTAAATGTATTTGGCCATGATACCCAGTTGAGGAAAAGCCAGGTTAATTTTAAACAACATGCTTTTAACACTGGACTTCCTAGAAACTTAATATATTAATGTACTTTGTGACTTTCCAAGAGAGTGTAAGGATCCCAGGGTTTCCTAAACTGATCTCAAGAGCCTTCCTATCCAACGCACTTGTTCCAAGGGGCACCACAGGACCAATGTTTTGGAGTATCTTAGGGACACACCTTTGTCATTTAGGTCACACAGAAAGCCACCAACTGTCAATGGCAGAAGAAAAGCTACCTGTGTGCAGTCAAAAATACCATCAAAACAACTTTAGAATGTATTTTAGGTTTCCTGGGTGTAATGTTTAGCTTTGTATTTGACAAAGTCAAACCATATAAAGTTTGATAATCACATATATAATACTCTTAGGGTCTTGGGATACATGAAATTCAAAATTTCCCCCACAAACCCTTATAATGTGAATAAGGAATGACTGGGTGCACAATTATTACAGAGCCAAAGGACCACAGAACCAGGAGGCCATATAAATAATTGCTCCATTTTCTGAATGAGGAAGCTGAGGACAGAGCAGAGAAGACTCACAGTGAGGTTAGGAGCCTCTGTCAGAACTGGAGTCCAGGATTCCTGCCAGCAATCTCTGCCAAGGGTGACTGGCCCGAGGACCCTTCCACCCCAACTCACCCCCACATGGGGCCTGCCTAAGCCTTGAACCCTGTACCCAAATGGTGTGCTTCTGTCCCTTTATGTATTAGAGAAGGATCGGGGGAAGTTCTGAAATTCTGGTAATTTCAGCAAAAATCACTACTCATCAAGGGGTCCTTCCTAGAGTAGCTTCATCTCACCCATGTATTTGTGGGTAGGTTTTTCAAATCCAATTTGGTAAGGATCATGTTGGAAAAGATGCCTGAATAGTCTGGTGTGTAGACTTATCATCTGCTTAGATCTTGGTCTGCTCAGAGTCTACACTTGGAGGGCAAAGGACACCACCTCCCTGCCTCATGCCCTCAGGAAGCATTCAGCTGGACACATAGCAGGGGCCCACTAAATACCCGCTGAGGGGGCTTTGCCTAAAAGCCCCATTTTGCATTACTTCCCTCAAGGTCTGCATCTGTTAAGTGAGAAGAAATGCAGCCTCCACAGCACTGGTCCTTCCAGAAACCAGCCTCTGTGACAAGGTGCAAAGGTTAAGTCAGGTTTCACCAGAGACAACGAAGGAAAAACCAGGTCCTGGGACCTCAGGATCATGGCCTAAGAGGGCAGAGTGGTAATGGAGATTCAAGAGTTTTAAGTACTTAGTGAGCCCTGTCTGAGCCTGGCCCAGGCTGGCAGTGGGGATACAGCCTGGGGGAGCAGTGTGAGCATCTTCCCCAGGATCCGAATGCAGGGAGAGTTTTTGAGCTGACTTTAAAATGGGAGTCTTAGAGGCAGCACCTTGCCCGTAGACTCGAAGAGTGGCTCGCAGACTAGGGTGGGCAATGGAAATTTCGGGAGGGTGAGAGAGAGCAGACTGCTGGGCCCCATCTCAGAGCTTGTGATATAGCAGGTCCAGGCTGAGGCTGACGACTTGCATTTCTATTATGCCTGTGGTGATGCTGGTCCAGGACCAGTCCTAGAAACCCACTGGGCTAGACCTGCTTTACCATTTTTTTAAAAAATGTTAATGTATTTTTGAGAGAGACTGAGCACAAGTTGGGGAGGAGCAGAGAGAGAGGAAGACATAGAATCTGAAGCAGACTCCAGGCTCTGAGCTGTCAGCACAGAGCCCAATGTGGGGCTCAAATTCATGAACTGCGAGATCATGATGTGAGCCAAAGTTGGATGCTTAACTGACTGAGCCACCCAGATGCCCCTTATCTTTACCAGTTGTACAACAGCCTACTGTTCACTTGCTCAGAGAAGGCAGCTGAGGAATGGCATGCACCACAGAAATCTGTCACACCCACCCCTCTTCCACGGGGTCTTAAACCTTTAAATATCATATGCAGAAAATAAGTCTAAATCATTAACTCAAAAAAGGAAAACCCTTACAAAGCACCCACTTCTGTGGCCCTAGTTGTTCAAAAAACCATGGGCATGATTCAGGGCTGGTCTCCTGGGGCAATGCAGTGGTTACCAGAGTTCTCTGTGGTCCTGTGAGAGGGACCAGATGGACCCCGGCAGACTGGGCAAATTCCCAAGTCCCTGGGGATGGGAGAGGGGGAATGCTCTGATGCCCCTTTCTGTACACCCCTCTTTGCCTGGGGGCCTAGCCCCCCCATCACTGTAGTAAACATAGGCCTGCTTGCCCTGGGGCCTGAGGCCTTCTACCCTCCAATCCTGCCAGTTCTCGAGGGGCCAGCACTGGGTGCAGGGGGACATCCCTGTGCCTTACGTCTCTCCGTGTAAGTCTGGATCACTTTTCAAAGTGAAGTCATCCCATTGGCCACATAACTCACTGTATCAAGTAGGTAAAAACATATGTGATATAGTAACATGTATATGTAGCCTCTGTCCCAGGTTCCTAGCAATGGAGGCAAGAGGAACATCTTTTGTTATATTTGTTCTTAGCACCTGGTTCCTGACTCAGGGGTCCTAAAACCCTTGGTGCTTCCTATTGGGGGTGAGGGAAGTGTCCATTGTTAGTCATAATAAGTCCCTTTCAGCCCCAGCTAGCTCATGCCAGTGAGGATGGGGACGGGGTACCAGGGAACCAATCCTGAGGTCAGAGCAGTGGAGCCTACGCCCCACCCACAGATGCCCTGAGAGGGAAAGAGGAGGGCTGGAGACTGAGCTAAACATCAATGGCCAATGATTTTATCACTGGTGCCTGAGTAATGGAGACCCATAGGTGAAGGGTTCCAAGGGCCTCCAGCTGGTGAGCATGTGGAGGTGGGGGGAAGCTCTGAGCCCCTTCCTGCACACCTGTGTCTGCTTCATTTGCCTACTGAGCTGTAGCCTTTATAATAAACCAGGAGTAGTAAATCAGATGCTTTCCTAAGCTCTGTGGGCTGCTCTAACATGTGACCAAATGTGAGAAGGGGGTCATGGAAACCCCGGGTTTGTAGCCAAGTTGGACAGAAGTGTGGATAACCTGGGGACTTACAGATGTGATTGGCATCTGAAATGGGGGCAGTCTTGAAGGATGAAGGCTCTGACCAGTGGGGTCTGCACTAACTGCAGCTAGTTAGGGTCCAAGCTAAACTAAACTGTGGGACACCTATCGTTGGGGCTCCTGTAAGTAGAGATTATAGCTCCTTGTAGTAAGTACACATTTGCCTCTGTTTCACAGATGAAGAATCGGAAGTGTCACGTTGTGTGCTTATGGCTCCACTTACACACAGACTCAGTCATCCATTCTCCACAGGGTGAGAGTTTGGGGAACTTGTCGGCCAACAATCTTACCTTCAGACTATTGTAGGCTAGATCTGCATCCTGGTCCAAATCTAGATCATTCTTTGCTTGTTCCTCCTGCACGGATAAGGAAACAGAAGGTGAGCAGGGACCACAGACAGCTGCCCCATGGCAGTATTTCCAACCACAGAAAACATGCTCATTTTGCCCACACTCCCTGCCCCATGTCCACTTCCTTCCTACCTCCAGAATATGGGGCCCTACTTCAGGCCACCAGGAAGCTCTCTGTAAATGACCCTCCTGCCTGTCTTCACTGTCTCCATCACTTTATTCCCAGATGGTTAGGCATGTGAATATGTATACACTATGTTACAGGTTGAATCATATCTCCAGAAAACATGTGGAAGTCCAAAGCATGGTACTCTGTGAATGTGACCTAATTTATAATTTATCTGTCAAATCCCACTTTTAATTGATTTAATAGCCAGAATGCCTATTAATAAATAGCATATTAAATGAATAGGAGTTAAAATACTTGCATTTGGGGTGCCTGGGTGGCTCAGTCAGTTGAGCGTCCGACTTCAGCTCAGGTCATGATCTCACGGTTCGTGGGTTCGAGCCCCGCGTCGGGCTCTGTGCTGACAGCTAGCTCAGAGCCTGGAGCCTGTTTCAGATTCTGTATCTCCCTCTCTCTCTGACCCTCCTCTGCTCACACTGTCCCTCTCTCTCTCAGAAATAAATAAAACATTTAAAAAAATAAAATACTTGCATTTGTCTTCACAGAAATATTTCTTGAAATAGTATCCTATACCATGTATTTTGTGGAATTTTGACATGTGTATTTACTGGGTTAAATAATCTTCTATTTTTAATTTGATAAGTGGTTTATGATTGAGTATTGCATTTTATTGGGTGGTTTTTCCGCAATTAGTAAGATGATTATACAGACTTTTCCCTCATTTTGTTAATATGTTGAACTATACTGAGAGATTTTTTTAATGTAGAAATGTTCCTACTGTTCTGTGACATTTTATATTTGACTATTGGGTAGTACCTTTTTTAACACATGACCAATTCAATGTTGATTTTTTAAAAAAATTTTGTATCTGGGTTCATAAGCAAAATTAGTGCTATATTTTCTATTCTTGTTCTTGCCTTATTTTTGAAAGATTATAGCAGCTTCCAAAATAAATTTAGTAGCTCTTCAAAAAAAAAAAAAATGGGATCTTTGCAGATAAAAATCAAAATCAAGATGACGTCATTAGGGAAATATGCTACGCCTGGTGCCCTTACAAGGAGATCTCTCGTTCCTCACTCGTTCTCTCTCTCGTGTGCGTGCGCGCACTCCCTCTCTCCCTCTCTCTCTCACACACACACACACACACACACACACACACACGCATGCCACCTGAAGATGGAGGCAGAGAATGGAGTCACACAGTGCCAAGTCAAGGAACTGGAGCTAAGGAATGCCAAGGGTTTCCAGCAACACCCGATGCTGAGAGAGAAGCATGGAGCAGATTCTCCCCAAAAGCCTTGGAGAGAGCATGGCCCTGTTGGGACCTTAATTTTTTATTCCTGGCCTCTAGAACTACGAGAGAACAAATTTCTGTTGTTTGGAGCCATCCAGTTTGTGGGACTGTGTTTCATCAGCCGAGGAAAGTAGCACCATAACACTTATACATTTAAGAAGATTAATATATAATAATTATGTGCTTATTAAGGAGCTTAATGAGCTACTCTTGGTTTTTTTGGGATGTGTGTGAACATATGTATTCAGTTTTCCCAACTGAATCACTAAGCGCTTTGTGGAGAAGCCTGCTTCCCCTATGTCACCCTACAGCAGGGAGTCTGGCAGCTGGCCCCCTTGATGCTCAGTAAAATGCTGAGTTTAATTCCAAGGAATTAAACAACAGCAACAGCTGTGATGCTAGCCCATCAGGACTCAGCGAACCAATGACTCCTATAATTGTCTGGCAGCTACTGAACCTGAATTGCCAATAAGAAGAGGGCAGAAACACCTGCATAAATGGTTAACTGTATGGGGGTGATTTCAAGTAGTGCATGACAGTCCTTGAATAAAATGGGTTTTGGCACTAAAACCTGACAGTGCTTAATTAGATTATCTGCAGTGCTAGCAACCTTAAGTCCAAGGTAAGGCCATTCCCTGCTGTGCATGGATTAGGTGTGCCCAGACATACAGACCAGGACGGATGGGAGCACCTCCTGGAGACTCTCCCAGATCTAAGGCTGCTGCATGGACCACATGGTCTCCTACCCGAGCAATCTGGGAAAGCCGCTGTCCAGGGTACACTCTCTGGCTTGGCTTCTGCCCCATTCATGGTACTGGACAGGACTCCTCAGGGTGGGCTCTTCATTTGCTGCCCCAGTGAGAGGCTTGTACTTGTGTTTGGTGAAGTGTGGGTTTGCCGCATGGCCACTCATAATTGTTGAGTGCATCTGGTTCTCAGAAAACAGAGATCATCCATGGTCAAGGGGCTATATTAAGGCGGACTGGCAGTTATGTTTCTAAGTGGACAACCCACTGGAATCACCCTCGAGGCAAAAGTGACTTTGCCATGCTCTGAGAAAGGGAGCTGGATGGATGGGAAGTCAAACACAGGGACAGCATGGCTGTCAGAGGCCCCATCCTCACAGCAGACTGCCACTCCCACACTGATGGGATGTCCTATAGACTTCTCTCTCTAGCTGCGACCCCACACCACATCTCTCCACAGAAAAGATCCAGGTGGCTCAGGTTTCCTCTTGGGACCAGGGGCAGATCCAAGAACATGATCCCTGAAAGCTCAGTTTCAGAGTGCTGTAGAGAGGGGGGTTCCATACCTTCCATCCCATGACCTACCTCCTGCCTTTCTTACCACACTCTGTCAGAAACAAGATCTTTCTCCTTAAAGGGAGATCCTCAATACACATTCAGGGCTATAAGCCAAGCCTATTCTAACTCTTGTTCAGTGATAACTTTTTTGAAGTTTATTTGAGAGAGAGAAAGAGGAGGAGGGGCAGAGACGGAGGGAGACAGAATCCCCAGCAGACTCTGCACTGTCAGCACAGAGCTCCACTCAGGGCTTGAACCCATGAACTGTGAGATCATGATCTGGGCCAAAACTAAGAGTCAGATGCTCGACTGAGCCACCCAGGTGCCTTCAAGGATTATTTTTCAAGAAAGGGATATCCCTTTTTATTTGGTATCAAGAAAAAGAGAAAGCCTAAAGCCAAGATTTCAAAGTTATTTAGGATTTCTGTGGTGGGGAATCTGGAGAATGGACCTTTGGGGATAGCTGGGTGGGCTGGGGACTTGTACAACAGACGTGGTCTGATGTCATCTGTGTAGCTTTTAATGGATTTGATTTGCGCTTGCCTGTCAGGACCACTTCTCTTCTGAGGGACGTTTGTAAACCTAACCCGTTCACCCTCCAATCTAATCTACCTGAGAGACTGGAGTCCACCAACAAGATTTACCTCCCCACTTAGTGCTCAGAATACCCAAGAATGTTCTTGCAATACAGACCAACATCTATATCACATCTGAAGGGAAAGGGAATGCACGTGTTACCAAAATGAGACTGTGTGTAGAGGCAGAAGCAGGGCTGAGAAGCAGGGAGGGGGGTTGAACCCCACAATGGGCAAGTCAGGCTTGAGAACAAAGACCTCTGACAAACCCATGATGAGGTCAGCTAATGATATGACCCATGTCAGAACTGGCCTTTCTATCCCATTAGAAGCCGTCCTTCTATTATCACTGCTAACTTCAGTGGGCTCTATTCCTACAGTGCCAATCTCTACCCAACCTTGCATTTATTTGAACAGTATCAATGTTATTTTTCACTTTCACTTTCACTTGTGTTAGGTCTGGTCCCCCCAAACTAGATCATAAACTCCTCAATGGCTAGGGGTTTTTCTTACATTTTTACCCCTTCTTGTTTAATCAACAGTTTGAATTTTTTTTTAGTTTATTTATGAGACAGAGAGAGACAGAGCATGAGTGGGGGAGGATCAGAGAGAGAGGGAGACACAGAATCCGCAACAGGCTCCAGGCTCTGAGCTGTCAACACAGAGCCTGATGCGGGGCTTGAACCCACGAACTGTGAGATCTGACCTGAGCTGAAGTCGAATGCTTAACTGACTGAGCCACCCAAATGCCCCGCAAATAGTTTGAATACCTACTATGACCCAGCACTAGCTCAGTGCTAAGCATTGCACATGGTGCCTAGGGGGTCCCTGACAGAGAAAGTGGAACATCTGGTGACACCAAGGTCTCAAGCAATATCCTTTTGAGATCCAAGGCACTAATGATAATCTCGACTGAGGCCAGGGAGCAATCGTGGGATAGAAAAGTGAGTGACACAAACTTAGTCTACCCCTAACCCAGTGGGGGTAGACTCAAGTCCATACCAGGCTTCAGGTAAAGGGCAATCACTTTTCTGTTAAAATTAGACTCCAGCTTGTATTTACACTTTAATCACACATCCTAGCACCCTTTGCAAGTATGTGTGACATATGCCACAGGCTCTCCCTAGATTTGCCACTGGGAATCCCTTGCCCTGGGGGCTCTTGGGAAGCCTACTCCTGTCCATCTGGAGTGGCCTGGGGGTGCCAGCAAGGAGAGAAGATTCAATATGATGCCAACATAAGGCGGAAGCTCCTCTCTGAAACCGAGCTCCCACCCAAGCCTCTGTGTTCACCCTGCCACGTGAACCCTGGGAAAAGCGGGATGTCAGCACCCGGGGGCTGTTCCGCAGGCCTGTGGCCCCAGCACACACCTGGGCCTTCCGGCTGTCCTGCTGCTCTCTCTTCTCCAGCTGCACCTGCAGTTTCTTCCTCTCCTGCTCCAGCTCCCTCACTCTCTTCTGCAGCTTCAGGAAGACGGTCATGTCCATGGCCGCCTTTTCCAGGCCGATGTCCTTCAGGGGAACACAAGGAGCCGGGAAGGAGGATTCAATAGCATGGCTGCCTCAGGGGACATTCGGCAACTCCCAGCCTGCCTCCGTATCAGCCGCCAGTCCTCTCTCTCTGTACAGACACCAATCCGTGCCCCAGAGGCAGAGCCAGTGCCAACCATCAGTTGGCACTCCGCACTCATTTGCTGTCTAGATAACATCGGAGTCTGGTCCATTTATATTCCTGTGAGAGCCACTTAAGACAACCACGCATACATTCCAAGAATAAAGACACAGCCATTTTACTTGGAAGTTAAAAGAGCTCACTTGTGGAAATGGTCTCATACCAGAGAAATTGTAAAACTCAGGCTCTAACACTTCCTGACAAAGAATCAGTGTGGTTACTAATCACTGCAAATGTGTTGTCAAACACCACCTGATTGTACCTTGAAATGGAACCAAGTTCCCCTGGAACTTGTTTATTCCATAGATCTGAGAGCATCAGTTTCCCAGATTTTCTCCCCTCAGATTCATGCCTGGGTTTACCCTTTGGGGTTCTGTTGTGTGTGAACGTGCATGACAACCGTGTATCTGTGTGAGTTTATCTATATGGGTTTTTTAAGTACATGTGTGCATGTATACATACACATGCATACATGTGACAATGTAATTTGGTTCAATTAGCAGTTCATGGTTGCCTCGTGCTTAGCCGGCGCTGTGATAGCTGTTCTAGCTGATCCCAAGAGCCAGCCTCAATTTTCTTGAAGGTCAATGCACTGATAGAAGTGGTTACATCTGCACAGAAATGGCCACATACCTGTCTAGTGGCACGTCTGGAGTTCAAATGACTGAAGCCTCTGGGTCTATACTTTAGACGCTGCAGTGTTGACAGCAAGGACCTCTTTCAAGCTAACATGAGCTAAGTGCTTACGGTGAGCGGCACACCGCACCGAACTGCACAAGAGACACGTTCTCATCCTAAGGACCTCTTTTCTATCCTTTGCCACCTTCACCTTGTGACTCGCCGTCTCTTATCACACTTTTTCTTTCTAGTTCTAGTTCTAGTTCTGAACAACAGAACACCTGAGGTTCTATTACAAACTTCTCCCATCACCTGATTAATGTCGAACTCTCCACCAGACAAGCTCTGTGAGGGCAGGGACCGTCTTCTGGCTTGGTGACCACTACGTCACCCGCAGCACCCCGCACAAAGACGTGCTCAAAACACATTTGGTTTTATAACTGCCTCTCTTCCAGGTCTTTCACATGCTTTTTCAGGTTTTACGTACTTGTGATTTTCTTCTTTTCAGATGCCTGGGGAAAAATTGTCTGTGTACCTTTGGCAAAATTACACACAGGTTACGAGGTCTGCCATGTGGTACGGTATTTAGAAGCTCTGGGGCTATTGCTGACAAAGATAGTCACTCAGCAAATACCTGCAGTTCCAAATATTCCAAATAATTGTTTTCTGAGTTTTACCCAGCTTCTAAGTCAGGAAAAACTTTTTTCTTCCATATTTATGGCTATTTTATATGTACTATGATACTGAATGGGGATGATAAATTATTTCTATTTTAATGACTAAGCCGTTCTTTCTTAATCCAGCCATTTACCTCTCTGCAATAGGCTCTCGGTTTTATAAGAGGGAGGATCGGGATTTACCATCTTCCTTTCTAGATAGTGCATGATGTGAACAGTAATATTTCACAGTAAATATTAACTCCAGGATCTGTAAGTCACCTTCAGGCCAAGTGATTCCCGGGTCAGGGAGAAGCCTGTGAACACTGGTCACCATCAGCCAGGAGAGTGCATGTCTACGTAGCTGGTCAACCCAAAACACCTCCACTCCCTCTGGAGCACGGACCGCGGCCACCAGCCTGTCTTACTCACCTCCACCTGTTGGAGGGCATCCTCTGTGTCTCCGACCTCAGATGTGGAGACGGAGGGGTAATTGGAGTCAGATTCTAAACTACTCTGGTTTGACGGGTTCCGCCTGTGGCCTGGGGTTTGCTGTTGAAAGAGAAAACTGTGAGTACTCATAACAAATGAATGCTAATGACAACTCTTCCTTTTCAAAGGCCAATAGATCCTAGAGTTGGACTCTGGCCTCATTTGTCAACAAGAACAGGTCTTGGAATGACAGCTAAATGGAGCTGTTCCCATGACAACTTCATCTACAGTGCTTCCAGTCATCCATCTAGCTAGCAAGATGACACAGAGAAGGGCCCTCCACGGCAGGACTGAATTCCTGCTCTCCTAATGAGATCCGGAGTCCCTAACACCCAGGCCAATTTCTCCACCAAGTCCTGGGGAAACCAGCCTTGTCTCCTGGTCTTGCCCTGATAGCACAGCAAGGCCATTCTGTCATTAGGCCCCCACTTGAAAAGAATGTGGCAAACCTGCCTCTAAGGGCCCTGTCCTTCAACCCGTGCTCTACCCATTTTATGAAAATAGTAAGCATGTTAGAAACAGAGGTGCCCGGGATGCCCGGTCAGTTAAGTGTCCAACTCTTGATCTCGACTCAGGTCATGATCTCATGATTGGTGAGGTCGAGCCCAGTGTTAGGCTCTGCACTGTTAGTGTGGATTCTCCCTCTGCCCCTCCCCCACTCATGCACACGGTCTCTCTCAAAATAAACAAATATTTAAAAATTTGAAAAGAAATAGAGGTTACCATTTATACTTCGGCTGTTCATGTAAAAATACTTTTTCTTGCATACGATTTGGCTTTGAGAATAAACACTGATCTTGGTCAGAAACTTCTGTATTTATATATGTTCCTCTTCAGCTTCCCTTCCTGGTTTCTATGCAATTAACTTATCAATCTTGTCTGAATATGCATTTCTGGAGGGAACATTTATGTGGGGTAAAAAGGAATGACGAATCCTGAAATAGGATGTTTCTATGTATATTGTGTTTCATCAAAGACGGGGAGAAATGATCAGACCCTGGGGGTCTCTCTGCAGCACGCACCAGTGATGTGGAGATCTGAACTGTTAGTGTTTCAGTGAAGGGATGTTTCTGGAACAGGTAACAAGACTGACAACATGCACCTGGGTGGGATCTTTCTTAAACTCCTGAGATCTTTAGAAGACCCCAATGTTGGAAAAGGAGCCTTCCCTGGGAATGATCACCCGGCCCCACTGCTTCCTCATGTGATAACCACCACTGGACATGGCAAGAATGGCCACCGGAAAGGACCGGCACAGATTTACTGAGCACGACCGTGTCGGAGGGCAGTGCCGTGGCTGGAGATGTGCAGGAATGGGGGTGGGGAAGTCGGATGCAGGGCTGGCGCCAGGACTGCCCTCCTTGCCTTGATGATGGTCATCTCATCCCGAAGGTTGTCGTATCTCTGCTCCAACCGTGAATACTCCTTCACGAGGTTCTGGTACCGGGAGCGCTCCTCCTCCAGCTCCCTCTTCATCAGATTTTCCTTGGCAGAGTTTTGGGCAAATTCATCTGGGAAGCAAGCACACGAAGCTACAGTTTTGCTTTTGAATGGATTCCCCTTGCACGTCCTGACTCACGCTTTGTGATTAATCGCTCTTTGAAAGGCTGCACATGACAAGCGCCCACCCCCACCACCTGATGAGTCTATTCAACAACTTCACCCACTGCAGAGCAAAGGGAAGCTGGTCATGGTGGCTCGAGTCTTCAGAGAAGGGGGGAAGCCCATGTTGCTTTTGGGGAAGTAGGGGAGAAGCAGGCAGTGGACAGGACATTCCCTCGCTTAATGCACTGTCTTCTCTCCTGTGACAACGGGTCACACAGCAGCTGCTGGCAGGATCCCTGTAAGAATCCAGGTTTTGTGGGGCACCTGGGAGGTTGAGTTGGTTAAGTGGCCGACTTCGGCTCAGGTCATAATCTCATGGTTTGTGAGTTTGAGCCCTGCATCAGGCTCTGTGCTGACAGCTCAGAGCCTAGAGCCTGCTTTGAATTCTGTGTCTCCTTTCTCTGCTCTTCCCCTGCTTATGCTCTGTCTCTCAAAAACAAACAAAAAAATATTAAAAAAAAAAAAAAAAAAAGAACCCAGGTTTTGTTCCCCAGTTCTGTCCCTATTCCTGAGCTTTCTGGTTCTGGAAGTGTAGGGAGATTTAAGGAGATAAGGCCAGATGTCAGGGTGGGGGAAGGAGGGAAGATAAAAAGATAACATGGATGGGCTTTTCCCCCTCACTAAAATGTAGTATTCATATCAGTAGAAAGAAGCAATTTTTATAGGGAAATGAAAAAGTGTAAGTTTTCAATGAGATTTCATGCTGGGTGGGATCCCATCCTCAGATGGCTTAATGCTCCCATGGCATGGGGGAGGGACCTAAGAGGAAAAGGTGAGTGATTTGCTTAAGGAACCCACTGAGCTGGGCAAGGACTGGGGTCTGTGGATGCCCACTGCTCCTCCTTGGCCAGGCAGGCCATGGGGCTTGATGGTGGCACAGGAGTCGGTGGGATCTGACCCAGGACCTTCTCTTACAGCAAACATTAGCAGATGACCCACTGGGTAGAAGAAATCACAAGAGTTACTATGGACACTAAAGATAAATTTAAAATCCGCAATAATGACAGCTCCTAGGTACTCTTTATGTATCAAAGCACCATGCCATGCTCTTTATGCTTCGGAGATCTGTACTTTTATGTCCATTTTGCAGATGAAGAAACTGAGGACTACAGTCATTAAGGGAGTCACTCAAGGCCAGGCAGTAGCATATGGTAGTCATTCTTCGAGTACAGGTCCCCAGGACTCCAAATCCTGTCCACTACACTGTCCATTATGTGCATTAAACTCTTTTTAAAATTTTTGTTTTTAATGTTTTTTATTTATTTCTAGGAGAGAGAGAGCGTGAGCAGGAGAGGGTCAGAGAGAGAAGGAGTCACAGACTCCGAAACAGGCTCCAGGCTCTGAGCTGGCAGTCAGCACAGAGCCCGACGCGGGGCTCGAACCCACGAACAGCGAGATCATGACCTAAGCAAAAGTCGGAAGCTTAACCGACTAAGCCACCCAGGCGCCCCATATGTGCATTAAACTCTTGAAACCAGGAGTCACAGTAGGGGCTTAAAGGCCCCCCTTCTTTTTCATTTATTAAAGCCCTTTCTCCACTGCACCATCTTGACTGTGTTCTTGCTAGGAGTCTGGGGGAAGGGGGTGTGGGGCAGAAATCAATATGGAAAAGAAATTAGACTCCAATATAGAAAATCAAGCATTTTGCTACTTACCTTTTGCTTGGCACAAGATTTGGTTGTTAAGCTGTTCCTTCTCATCCTTTAAGAGAGCATTTTCTTCCTCCAGATCTGCAACACGCTGAAAGGGAGAGCAAGAGGGGAAAATGTCTGCCCTGTGAGGCTGCACAAAGGAGAGGCTCCTTTCATGCAGTTTGAAGTTCAGCTGCTTAGGTCTACATGCTCTTTTTAAGAAAATCAGGTCAGGCAAGACTGCTTTCATTTCGAGGGAAAGACCATTGCACCAAAAGAAAAATCCATTAAAACACAACAGAGGAGCTCACCACTCTGTATGGTCCTCCAGTGCCCACAGAAACCTCATGAAAAGTCTGCACATGCTCACAGGCCGTGTGAAGGAACGGACAACAGTAACAGGCTTTCACCTTGTGTTTGGTTGCCTGTCTTGGTAAATTCTGAGCTCTCAAATCTGAGTGGCAGGGAAGCCCAAAGCTCACAATGAAAAATCATCTCTGGTGTTCATTCCACTTGCCCTCACCGGTCTCACTGGAGCAGCACAGCTCAGGTGCCGCAGAGGGAAATGAATTCTAGAGTTTAGCTTTTGGCCCTCCCCACAGCCCCTACACCACAAAGGAAGCATGAAGGGAATGCTACTAAAAATGGCACAAAAAGAAAAGAGTAATTAAGGAAAAATCCCGCTCCGTTCAGAGGGAAGAATACCAATGGCGTATGGCAAGCTTTTTAAAAAAGGAAGTTTTGGCTATTCAGTATTGGAGCAAATATTTGTATAGATTTAAAATGTATAGATTTATAGATTTAAAAATGTAACAATTCAGGGGCGCCAGGGTGGCTCAGTCGGTTAAGCATCCGACTTTGGCTCAGGTCATGATCTCATGGTTTGTGGGTTCGAGCCCCACGTCAGGCTCTGTGCTGACAGCTCAAAGCTTGGAGCCTGCTTCAGATTCCGTGTGTGTGTGTGTGTGTGTCTCTCTCTCTACCCCTCTCCCTCTCACACACTCTCTCTCAAAAATAAACATTAAAAAATTTTTAAATATAACAATTCAGCCATATTCTAAGACAATCAGAAATCATTAGCTGTTCTAGAGGAGTAGGGGAAACGGGTCTGTTCTAACATGAGGGCTGGAGCACAATGGGTCCACCTCTGCACATTTCTCTCTGGACCCCCTGACTCATCTGGCAGGAGGCCACCGAGTAATTTTCCCCACCAATGTAGTAGCATCCCTGCCTTTATGACAAAGGAAAGCAAGTAAGTGAGCACTGCGGAAGTGGACAGGAAGAGGAGGAGGATGCATGCCCAGGGGCCCTCCATTCAGGCACCCAGACCTGAGTCCCGCCCTCCCTGGAGGCTTCCCGAAGCCAGCAAGTCAGCACAGAAAAAAACCCTGCAATCACACAGCAATCAAAGTGCAGCAAATCTGGCCTGAGGCAAAGACAGGGAGCTCCACAGCCACAGCTCTCTGACTCCATGAGCCACAGGTCCCCCTCAGGGAAACAAACACCCACCCTGAAGGTCTGCTCTCCGCATATGGAGATGATGTATGTGGAGTCTAAGCTGCAGGCACAGCACGCAGCTGTTGATGAATGGATGTAGATGGTTCTACAGCATTACCTATCCCGGGCACTAAGCTGAAGCATATACTTTAAAAATCATTCTGTCACTTAGCAACAACTTAAAGAAAAATTAACATCTATTCTGAACAGGTTATTTCATAAAACAGAAGAGGAGTCCTCAGCTTCCTTTATGAGGCCAGTAGTATCCTAATACCAAAACCAGAGACATCACAAGAAAATGACAGACTATTACCTTTTACAGATATGGATGCAAAAATCCTTAACAAAATGTTACCAAACCTTCATGATAAAACCACTCAACAGACTAGGACTAGAAGGGGCCTTCCTCAACCTGATAAAGGGCATCTACAAAAACCCACAACATCAGTCTTTATGGCTGAAGTCCGGAATACCTTTCGTGCCCAAGGTCGGGACAGAGACAAGGACGTCTGCTCTTGCTGAAAATAGTCAACACCTTACTGGAGAGTCTAGCCTGGGCAAATACAAAAGAAATAAAAATCATTGAGATTGGAAAGAAAGAAGTAGAATGATCTCTATCTGCTTAAGACATGATCTTTTATGTAGAAAATGCTAGGAAATGTACTTAAAAACTATTAGAATAAATGAGTTCAGGTTGTGGAGTACAAGATCAATACACAAAAGTTGACTGTATTTCTATACAGTGCAGTAAGCAACCTGAGAAAGAAAATTAAGAAAACAATTCCATTTACAACAGCATCATAAAGAAGAGAATACTCTGGAATACATTTTAACCAAAGGAGTACAAATTTACACTCTGAAAGCTACAAGATATTGTTGAAGGAAATTAAAAAAGATCTAAATAAGTGGAAAGACATCCTGAGTTAATGGATCCAAAGACTTAATGCTGTTAAGATATAACCCTCCTTCAAATAACTTATAGACTCAATAAAATCATTATCAAGATCCCAGACGGCTTTGTTGCAGAAATTGACAAACTGACCCTGAATTTTTATGGAATATGTAGGGATCCAGAATAGCCAAAATCTTGAAAAAGAACAAAGTTGGAAGAATCACGTGTCTCAATTTTAACACTTACGACTTCAAACACAATTATAGTAATCAAGACAGTGAGACATTAGCATCAGGGTAGACCAGAGATCAATGGAATAGAACGGAGAATCCAGAAATAAACCCTCATGTTGTAATTCATTGAGGAAAGAATGGTCTTTTCAACAAATGGCCAGAACAACTGTATTTCCACATACAACATAAAATTGGACTCCTACCTCACACTATATTTAAAAATAAACAAAGTACATCAAAGACCTAAATGTAAGAGTTAAAACTATAAAATTCTTGGAAGAGAACATAGAAGCAAAATCTGTGATTTTCGATTAGTCAATGTCTTCTTAAATACAACACCAAAAGCACAAGCAGCCAAAGAAAAAAATACTTAAATTGGACTTCACCCGAACTAACAACTTTTGTGCTTTGAAGGATACTATCAAAGGGAAAAGGCAACCCACAGTAGAACAGTAAATATCTGTAAATCATTTATAGGATATGGGACTTGGACCCTGAACAGAGTATTTGAACTCAACCAATAAAAAGAAATCCAATCAAAAAATGGGAAAAAATTGAATAGACACCTCCAGATGCCCAATAAGCACAACAAGATGTTCAAGGTCATTAGGGAAATGTAAGCCAAAACCACAATGATTTATCACCTCACGTATACTAGGATGGTTAAAGTTAAAAAAAAAAAAGAGAGAGAAAGACAATTACAAGTGTTTGGTGAGGATATGGAGAAATCAGAATTCTCCTACACTGCTCATGGGAATGTAAACCAGCACAGCAGCTTGGGAAATTTCTTAAAAGTTGCATTTTAACCCTTTTTTGACCAGCAATTCCATTCCTTTTTTTTTTTTTTTTTTTAAATGTTTTATTTATTTCCAGGAGAGAGAGACAGCGTGAGCAGGGGAGGGTCAGAGAGAGAGGGAGTCACAGACTGAAACAGGCTCCAGGCTCTGAGCTGGCAGTCAGCACAGAGCCCGACGCGGGGCCCGAACCCACGAACCGCGAGATCATGACCTAAGCGAAAGTCGGACGCTTAACTGACTAAGCCACCCAGGCGCCCCAGCAATTCCATTCCTAGGTTTCCAAGAGAAATGGAAACCTTATGTACACAAGAACTTATACAGAAATGGTTGTAGGAGTATTCAAAAGGGCTATAAAGTGGAAACAACCAAAAGTCCATCAATGAACTGATGAACAAAATATAGTACGCCCATTGGATGAAATATTAATTGATAATAAAAAGCAGTAAAGTACTGATCCATGCCACAACATGGATAAATCTTGAAAGCCTTATGCTAAATGAGAAAGGCCAGTCACAAAAGTCACATGTGGTAGGGTTCCATTTATATGAAGTGTCCAGAATGGGTAGATTAATGGAGACAGAAAATAGATAGATTAGTTGCCTAATGGCTGGACAGGGAATAAGCAGGATTAGGGTGTGACTATTAATGGATACAGCATACTTTTTGGGGGGAGTGATAAAAATATTCTAAAATTAGACTATGTAATAGTTGCAAAACTGACTATATTTTAAAGACCACTGAATTGTATACTTTATGTGAGCTATGGTATAGGTATTTAATAAAGCCACTAAAAAACCATTCCACAAATTAACCAATCTACTAAGCACAGTACCCTGTGGTAGATGCAGCAAAAGATAAAAATATGAGTATTAAACAGGCTCGCGGGTTTTGGTCTGAGTGATAAGTTTCTCCATAGACACCTGCAAGACTATAGTGACTGACACAGTGAATGAGCTTGCTCCCTGGTTCAAGTCCTCACTTCCAGCCATCTGTGGTACATTTTACCATCTACTGTTGGGGGTGGATTGGGCTGGCAAGGGCTGTGTAGAAAGACACAGCCTTAGTACAACAACATGTGCATGGCAGCTAAGACTAAATGGTGACCTACCAGGACTGCTACCTAGGAGACAGATCCCTGATGGACCCATAAGACTGGCTCAAGGGCAGAACCTTCCTGATGTCTGAATTTCAACTGGTTATGAGTAAATGCTACCTTGCTTTCCCCTTAGCTTTGAAGTTCAGCTTAAGGCACTAAGAGAGGAGATAAGAGTATGGTTCTTCCCACCCTCAGCATCACATGGAAAGGGTCAGGAAAGAATTTCAACAAGGCTGGAGTCCAGGAGCAAGGTCCCCTGGGGCTCCTTAGGGGCTTGGAAGACAGTGACTCTCACAGGTGCCTCGGCTACTCTGGGGAGCCGATGGACCTGCCGGCGGCTTGCCCTCTGTGGCTGCATACGGAGAACTGCAGATACACATTACCTGTGGAGGCTTACCAAAAGCTCCAAGTACTTTGTCAACAGTCTGCTGACATCATCCAATGTCTTTTGATTTTGAACAATTTTCAATGTTCTTCAAAATGTGGCTTTCAAAACTAACCTTCCAGGAAACTGTCCCTTCTCTGCTACAGGGCATGGCAGCTTTTGATTCTCTCAATTCAGACAGACTTGGTTTCTACCCCAAGTTCATCTGT